GGTTCAGGTTCAAGCTGTACGCTGACTTGCACTTCAGTCTCAGTATCGCGCTCGACAGGTATAGCTGTGACGGTTTCGGTTTCCGAGGCAAGGACTGGTTCATCGAGCGGCTCAACCAGAGGTTGTTGATCAGCAGGCTGAGGCTGCTCTCCGGCACGCTGAGGCTCTAACTCCGTGGGCACATCAACCTCTACGTCAGCCTCAACCACCAGCGGCGTGTCCACGGCTTGATCAGCAAAGGGCGAAGTAAGGTCTATTACCTCTTCGGTTGATACTGCAGGTTCATCCGGCATTAAAGGAACCGTTTCCGTTTCAACTAGCTCAACCGGGCTATCCTGGGGCTGCTGAACAAACAAATAAACTAACCCCATCAACACAACCAGCATGATGGCCAACGCTGCATGGGTCATCGGGAACCCACTTCCCTGCTTACGCGTCTCGCCACTTTCCATATCTGTTAAAAGCCTGTTTGCAATGCTATCGACCACACTAGGGTTACCGCCGGAGCGCTGCACAATTTTATCCAGCTGCTCATCCGTGAAAGGCAGTCTGCCGCGATATTGAGCCTGCCGGAAGCGCCATTCCAGATAATTTCTGATCTCCGCCTTGGGGAAACCGGTAATTCGAATTTCGAACCATTCAAGCTCCTGGTCTTGTGCAATTTCACCAAGCATCGAAATTTTCGATGCCTCAGTGAACAAAAGCAAACGCAAAGCCGATGCACCAACCAGACTCATGAGTTGTTCCAGGGCCTGAGCATCCAGTAGGTGAGCGTCGTCGACCATCACCATACAGATACGACCCATGGCGTCCTGTTCGTTCACATGGGTTGCGATCAACCTGGACAGATCAGCAGTATGCGCGTTTGCCTGGGCGGCCACACCAAACCCCTGCAACATTCCCACCAGCACTTCGCGCTGGGTGGTCACCACAGTGCCTGAAAGCCGGGCCGCTTTTGTGTTGGGTTCCAGGCTACTGGAAAGCTCACGAAACAGGCTGGACTTGCCGATACCAAACGGGCCGGAGACCACCAGAATACGGCGCGACCACTGACTCAGATGACGCAGGTGATCCAGGTGGGTCTTCCGATCTGCTCCGATAAAAAAACCTTCCCGCGGCGGGGTAAACGGATTGTGCGACAGCCCTAAGAACGTTTTCTGATTCATTGCTGCACCATCAACTCGTTCAGCTGCAGAACTCATTGAGTACATCTTCAAGATGAGACGCAGCAAAGCGGTCAGCTACCAAAGCCGTGCCTATTTCAGCACTCAGGACAAAACGAAGTTTGCCATTCGCCGCCTTTTTATCCATGCCCATGGCGCTCAACATATCAGTAACCGATGCCGGTTCAGAAAGGCTGACCGGCAGATCAAAGGCAACCAGCAGTGCAATCAACCGTTGCACCTGCTCTGCCGGAAAATCACAGACTTTCTGCGAGAATCTGGCGGCCATAACCATGCCAATGGCCACCGCCTCGCCATGCAGCCAGGTGCCATAACCGGCCAGGTTTTCTATGGCGTGGCCAAAAGTATGCCCGAAATTCAATAGTGCACGCACACCGCCTTCGCGCTCATCCCGGGCCACAACGTCTGCTTTTATTTCACAGGAGCGTTGAATCACATATGCCAGGGCTTCAGGGGAACGTTGCTGGAGTGAGGTGACGTTGTTCTCCAGCCAGTCGAAAAAGACAGCATCAGCGATCACCCCATACTTCACAACCTCAGCCAAACCTGCCGCATACTCCCGGGCAGGCAGGGTGCTCAGCACACCGCTGTCGATGACCACCGCCCTGGGCTGATAAAACGCGCCGATCATATTTTTCCCGGCAGGGTGGTTAACCGCAGTTTTTCCGCCCACAGATGAATCAACCTGAGCAAGGAGCGTGGTCGGAATGGCCACAAAATCTACACCGCGCTGAAAGGTTGCCGCCACAAAACCGGTCAGGTCACCAACCACACCACCACCTAACGCAATCAGACACGTAGTTCGGTTATGCCGATGCTGCATGAGGAAATCCATGGCTGCCTGATAAGTCGCCAGGCTTTTGAACTGCTCACCATCACCCATCACAAATGTATCGACCTGACGGCCTGTGAGCGCCTGGCGCACCTGATCGCCGTATAACTGATTGAGGGTGTCATTGGTAAACACAACAACCTGCTGGCTTTTAATAATATCCTGCAGAAAAGCCTGCAAGGTGTCCGGCTGCAACAGTCCATTGCCAATCACTATCGGGTAGCTGCGTTCCGCCAGTTCAACTCTTACTGTGTGCACTTTATTGTTTTACCTGTCTATTCAATCTGGTGATCAGCGCGCAACTGCGTAACAATTTTTTGCACGAGGCTTTTCACACTTTGCTGATCCGATATAAACCTATAATCAGATATTTCGTCATATAGCGGTGCACGCTCGTGCACCAGCCTGGTTAGAATCTCTTCAGGATTATCACCCTGCAACAGCGGTCGCTTTTTATCATTGCGGGTACGCGCTAACAAGCGGCGCAGAGGACAATCCAGGTGAATAACGATGCCGCGGGTGGCGAGGTTCTGGCGATTCGCAGCGCGTTTTACGGCCCCACCACCTGTTGCCACCACAACACCCCGCATTTGCGAGAGTTCATCAATAACGTGCTCTTCGCGATCGCGGAAACCCTTTTCTCCTTCAACATCGAATATCCAGGAAACCTCCGCACCCGCGCGCAATTCAATTTCAGCATCAGAATCGTAGAACGGCATTTCCAGTGTTTCAGCCAGGGTTCTACCAACCGTTGACTTACCGACGGCCATTAATCCAACCAGAAATATATTTTTTTGTGTCATAAAAAACGGCGCCTAAGGGGCGCCGTTTAGTGTACACCGTTGCGCGGTTATCGCGCAGTCGATTTACCTGTCAGTCAGGGCATCCGAAATGATTCGCGGAGTGATGAAGATCAACAGCTCCTACTTGTCATCGCGCTCTACTGTGCGCTTGAACAACCGTCCGACGTAAGGGATATCACCCAGAAATGGGGTCTTGGTGGTCGAGACGTTTTTGTCGGTCTGGAAAATACCGCCCAATACAATCGTCTGACCATTGTCTACCAGAACCTCGGTTTGAATTTCGTTGGTGTTGATTGATGGCACACCGTTGAACACCGTACCCACCGTATCCTGCTTCACGTTCAACTGCATGATGATGCGATCATCAGGCGTGATCTGCGGGGTTACTTCCAGAGACAGCACAGCATCTTTGAAAGAAGTTGAGGTTGCACCACTGCTGGTCGCTTCCTGGTATGGAATCTCAACACCAGACTCGATCACAGCTGGGCTCTTGTCAGCGGTGATGACCTTCGGACGCGCCACGACTTCAGCGTGACCGTCTGTCGCCAGAGCCGACAGCTCAAGGTCGACCAGATAGCCTGCCCGGGTAATACCCAGACCGATACTGGAAGCGCCTGCCTGAGCAACACCCAGGTCGACAACCAGGTCGCCGGGTACCGAAATATCGCCAGTGCCGTCTACTAGAATATTGGAAAGCTCCACCAGGGTATCCAGCGATCCGCCGTAACGCACGGCTGTGCCACCGTTCTGGTTGATGCCACCACCGCCCCAGCGGATGCCCATCTGCTCAGCAAAGTTAGCATTTGCTGTGACAATTCGAGCCTCAATCAGAACCTGGCGTACAGGCACATCAAGCTGTGCAATCACGCGACGAAACTCTTCCAGGCGATCAGCTGTATCGGTGAGGATAATGGCGTTTGTACGTTCATCAACAATCACGCTTCCGCGTTCAGACAACATAGTCTGACCTTGCGCGCCACCGCCATTAAACAGGTTGAACAGTTCAGAGGCTGACGCGTAGCGAATCTGTATGAAGTCAGTGCGTAACGGTGCCAGTTCGGAAATCTGTTTCTGATTTTCCAGCTCAAGTTTTTCACGTGCGGCAATCTCTGCAGCCGGCGCTACCAACAAGACATTACCGACCTGACGCTGATCCAGACCCTTAGTCTTAAGGATGAGCTCCAGAGCCTGGTCCCAGGGTACATTCTTCAGGCGCAGGGTGATGCGACCACTGACGGTATCAGACGCCACCAGGTTCAAATCTGTAAAGTCTGCAATCAGCTGCAAGACTGAGCGTACTTCGATGTCCTGGAAGTTCAGGGATAGTTTTTCGCCAGTGTACTTAAAGATGTCGTCGCGCTGATTCAGCTCTTCTTCAGTCATTGGCGTGACATCGATGGACATTGTGTTATCAGCTTGATAAGCCAGGTAATCGTAGTTGCCGGTCGCTGCTATGGTGAACACCGTGTTGTCACCTTCCTGCAGGGCATCGATGATTTGCACAGGTGTTGCGAAATCGGTGACATCCAGGCGACGGCGCAGTTCTGTTGGCAAACTGGTATTGCGCACTTCTACGCGAATCCGGCCTGAATCACCTGAAACGTTAATAGGTGCTTTAGGGTTGCTGAGGGTCAGTACGATGCGACCTTCACCACCTTCACCGCGACGGAAGTCCACATTTTCGATGGTTGAACCGCGCATCGCGGCAGGCGCCGGGCGACTGTCATCGGCAACGTCCATGGTTTGTGTGTTACTTGGCTGGCCGGAACTTGCGGTACCCACAGTCAGATACAGGGTATTACCCTGAACACTAGTTTCGTAGCTCACCAGTTGGGTCAGGTTCACAATAGCGCGGGTACGGTCTTTGGTGCTGACCACCGAAACACGCCGAGCGTTACCAATACCGAGATTGTGATGCTTCTCATCCAGTGCACTGACCACACCAGGCAGGTCCAGCACGATGCGTGCGGGCTGCTCAATGGTATAGCCTTTGGGATCTGGCGGCGTACCGTCAAATTCCATACGTATTTCCGTACGATCACCAGGTAGCGATGAAAAGTCGATGTTCTCCATCGTCACGGCCCAGCTCTGCGTGGCCACCAGGCTTATTGCGCCGGCTATACACAGCGGAACGACTCGGCTCGCCCATCCAGTAAAATTCTTAAACATCATCTTCATCCTTTATGCTCCAGCCGCCAGCGAAACGGTTCGCTCTCGCTCTACCCAACCACCGGTCCCGTCAGGAACAATTTCTATCAATTCAATGCCCGTATCGTTCACCGCCAGAATGCGTCCGTGATCGGTACCCATAAAATCACCAGGCTGTACCCGATGCACGCCGCCATTACCGTCTTGAATCAGCGCGTAGGTAACAGGACCTTGAGCCAAAGTACCCACCATCGCCAGACGGCCAATGGTGAACTGCTCAAGAAACTGTTTAACCCGGTTGAAGTCAGGCGTGACCTTTGGCCCATCCTGGCGGTCAACCTGCTTCAATACAACTGGCGGATCAAACGGACTGCGTTTGTTACTGGCCAGATACTTGAACGGTTTAAATGTTTCAATCGGCGGCAGCGGCTCAATACGACCCTTGGGGCGTGAGTCAACTTCATCCATAAACGCATTCAGATCGGAATAATCAACGTTTGGGCTACAACCACCCAACATGACCAGAACAAACGCGCTCATCAATATCTTAGGCGCTCGCATTAACCCGCCTCCTCTAGATAACGATACGTCTTCGCGGTGATTTCCATACGCAAACCCAGATTGTCTCGTATCGGGTTAATCTGGAAGTCGTGCAGGGTCACAATCCGTGACAGGTTCGCAACGCCACTGACAAATGAACCAAGCTTGTGGTAATCCCCTTCAACAACGATGCTGATGGGCAGTTCGATATAAAATTCGGTTCGATTTTCGGGTTCCAGATCGATACTTTCGATGGTTAACTCATTGTCGATTGCTGTGCGTGTGATGTCTTCCAGCAATCCGGGCACTTCCGTGTCACTGGGCAATTGCCGCAACAACGCACCAAAGGCATCTTCCATCTCGCGCTTCTGTATGCGCAGCGCGTCCAGGTTGGCGGCAAGCCCAGCCTTATCTTCATACTCTGCGCGTAGATCAACCTCTTTAGCCTGCTCGACTTCGAGGTTTTTCTGCTTATCGGTCACATGCCAGTAGTAACCGACACCTAACACCAGAGCAAACAAGATAGCCATAAAGATGGCTTTTACAACGCCGGGCCACGAACCGATATTGTTTATATCAAGATCGCTGAAATCGACAGATTGAATCTGTTTGAGGGTATCCTGCATAGCCATTAGAGGTTCTCCTCTTCAGTGCTCTGCTTCGGATTGGATTGCAGAAAACTCAAATCAAACGTTGAAGCCTGCTCACCATAGTCCGAATTTGTTGGATCTTCTTTAATGCTCTTGAGATTCGGCTGGGTAAACCAGTCTGATCCATCAAGGTTCCGCATCAATGCTGAAATCCTATTGTTAGATTCAGCGACACCCGAGACTGACAGCATGTTGCCTTCATACTCCAACTTCTTGTAATGCACGCCTTTAGCCAGCGTCTGCACGACCTCATCAAAGACGCGCACAATAACCGGCCGGTTACCCTGCAGTTCATTGATAACACGCATTCGCGCCAGCAGATCTTCACGCTGCTTACGCAACATCTGTATCTCGGCGATTTTCTCATCCAGAACTTTGATCTTTCCGGTTAAGAATGTGTTGCGGCCCTGTTGGCCCTCAATCTCATTGTCCAGGTACATCCCTGCACCAAACACCAACAATACGCCTACCAGCAGCACCGCACCCAGCTGAGTCAGAAACTCTTTCTGTTTGCGCTCGCGCTCCCATTCACGCCATGGCAGTAAGTTAATATTCGCCATTATGTGAAACTCCTCATTGCCAGACCGCACGCGATCATTAACGCCGGGGTGTCGTTAGACAGGGCCTCAGCATCCACTCTGGAAGCTAAAGACATGTTAACAAACGGGTTGGCGATGATCGTGGGTGTACCGAGTTTAGACTCGATCATGTCACCGAGGCCTTCAATGGAGGCCGTACCCCCTGCCAGCACAATGTAATCTACGTCGTCGTATTGCGAGGATGAGAAGAAAAATTGCAGGGACCGTGTCACCTGCTGCAGTACAGCTTCTTTGAACGGCTGTAATACTTCGTCTTCGTAGTCATCCGGTAGACCACCTTGTTTTTTCGCCAAACCTGCCTCTTCAAAAGACAGACTGTAGCGACGCTGGATTTCTTCCGTCAGCTGTTTGCCACCAAACAACTGCTCTCTTGTGTATATGGCCTTATCATCGGCAAGTACTGACAACGTCGTCATGGTTGCACCGATATCGATAATGGCGACCACCAGGTCTTCCGGGTTATCCCCCAATTGGGGCTTAACCAGATCGAATGCCCGTTTCATAGCGTGAGCTTCAATGTCAACCACCGCAGCCTTCACACCACCAAGATCGAGCGCCGCTTCGCGCATCTCTACATTTTCTTTGCGACAGGCGGCTAACAGCACTTCGACCTGTTCCGGGTTTCGATCTGACAGACCGAGCACCTCAAAGTCGATGGCCACCTCATCTAAGGGGTAGGGAATGTATTGATCGGCTTCCACCGTGATCTGATTTTCCATTTCGTCATCGGACAACTCAGCGTCCATTTCAATGGTCTTGGTGATCACCGCGGAACCGGCAACCGCAACCGCCGCAGCTCTACTGCTGGTTTTGGAGCGACTGATAACACGTTTTATGGCATCACCTACACCCTCCACGTCGCTGATGTTCTTTTCGACAACAGCATTCGGAGGTAAAGGTTCCACCGAGTACGACTCGACGCGATATGAGTTGTTGGTCTGTGAAAGCTCTAACAGCTTTACCGACGTCGAACTAATATCGAGTCCAAGCAGAATATTCGTTTTCTTTCCAAACAATGCCACGTTAAATTTCCTTAAATGGCGCGGGCACTTACGTCCTATACATGCAGCGAATCATTAAATAACAGACTCGACTTTAGAGCAATCAACGCCTAGCCTATTTTGCTCGCACTCCCACTCAACATTGAGGTTAATTTGTGTCTGCCTTATGTCCGACATGTAGTTAGAATTTCCCTTTCGTTTACAAGCCCAGCAACTTGACAAAATACCTGACACAAAAATCAAGCTCAGTCCTGCAGACTATTATGTGGCTCACCCTCGCAGGTTTATGTGCCGCAGTCCTCAGTCTAGCGGGGACCTATCTTTATTTGGATCCACAGATACCAAAACCAGAGACTTACCGTAACGTAAAGCTTGAAACCCCTCTGCGCATTTACGCAAAAAACGGCGCGTTGTTGGCCGAGTTTGGTGAACGCCGTCTCATTCCCATAACCTTAGACCAAGTACCCCAACACTTCATCAACGCGCTTTTAGATACTGAAGACAAACGCTTCTATGAACATAGCGGCATCGACTTCATATCCCTGGCCAACGATGCCCTGGCTCTGGTTGGGACATTTGTCACAGAAGGGGAGCTTGGCGGCGGAGCCAGCACCATCACCATGCAGCTGGCGCGTAATGTTTCATTCAGTCTTGAACAACGCTTTTTACGCAAGTTCAAAGAGATGCTGCTGGCGCTGAAAATCGAACGGGAACTGAGCAAAGACGAAATCCTTGAGCTTTATATTAATTTAGTCCCTTTTGGCAAACGTGCCTATGGTGCTGAGGCCGCAGCACGTACCTACTATGGCAAATCGTTGCAGGCGCTGGAGCTTGCGCAACTGGCGATGCTGGCGGGCATTCCACAAGCACCCACCGCTGGTAACCCTATCAACGGACCCGAGCGCGCGCTGAGACGTCGCAACCTGGTGCTTTCCCGCATGCTTGCGCAGGATTCCATCACACGCGAAATGTATGACCAGGCCCGCAATGCACCGATATCCGCTCAAATTTACGCCCGGGAGCTGGACGTACCCAGTCCTTACGCGGCGGAATGGGTTCGGCAGCAGGCGGCAGCACTCCTGCCGGATCTGTATACCGGCGGCTATGAAATCGACACCACAATTGATGGCGATTTGCAGGCTGAGGCTATTGCAGCGCTGAGGCGAGGACTGCATAACTACGATGAGAAACATGGTTATCGCGGCGCAGAAGCCCAGGTGCCTGAGGATCTGCTGGCCCAACTGACTGCAGCAGCACCAGAACTGTTACTGGACCCTGCCGGCGACTACCCACAGCCACTGACTAACGAAGTTGCCAGCTTCCTGCAGTCCAAAGATCGATATGGTGGTATGGAACCCGCCATAGTTCTGGCTGTTAACGATGAAATTGCCGTTGTTCAGCACAACACGGATCAGCTGACTATAGTAAAGCTCGCTGACAGCACCTGGGCACGCACCTACATCAACGTCGATCGGCGCGGGCCTGCGGTGGACAGTCTGACCAGCGTCCTGGCGGTCGGCGATCAGATACGTCTACGCGAGAAAGTAGATGCCGAACAAGGCTCTGTACTGGTGTTATCTCAGTTACCGGAAGTGCAGGGCGCGGTGATTTCCCTTGATCCCAAGACCGGTGCGGTGCGTTCGCTGGTGGGTGGCTACGATTTCTTTCGCAACCAGTACAACCATGCGCTGCAGGCGGCCCGTCAACCAGGCTCCGGGTTCAAGCCACTGGTTTACTCCGCTGCCATTGAAGAAGGCATCACACCGGCCGACATTTTCATGGATGCCCCACTGGTGTTTGACGATGAAAATCTGGAATCTCAATATCGACCAGACAACGATAACAACCGCTACAACGGCCCTACCCGCCTGCGCGAAGCCCTGTATCGCTCTATCAATCTCGTTTCGATGCGGGTGTTGTTAAAGGCCGGTGCCGGTGATGTCATCGATCATGTGGCCAAATTTGGTTTTGATACCCGCACCTTCCCGCGCAATACACAACTCGCCATCGGCGGCGGTACTATGGCCGTTACCCCCATCGAAATGGCCCGAGCTTATGCGGTTTTCGCCAACGGCGGTTATCTGGTGGACCCACACATCATCACCCGGATTCGAGACGGTGAGGGCAACGAAATTGTCCGTGCTAACCACCCGGTGGTCTGCAAATCCTGCGAAGCAGAGTTATTTGCGCAAGAATTTGCCAAAGAGGCCCGCGACCAGCAGCCTCTGGAAGCCGAGCCTGCCAGTTTAGAAGCCTTACTGGCTGAATCGGAATTGACTGAATCAGATAATCTGCCTGCCTTATCCGCTGGTGACCAGGAGGGCAGAGACATTACTGAAATCGATGTTGCTGATACAAATATCGACGACCCCATCAATCCGCAAGCCGCAGAGGGTCCCATCCGGTTGCCTGAACCCGAGGTGTTGCTGGCTCCCAGAATTCTCGATGAACGCAACGCCTATATCATGAATTCCATGCTGCAGGACGTTATCAAACGCGGCACTGGTCGCGCCGCCCGCCGACTGCAACGCAACGATCTGGCAGGTAAAACTGGCACCACCAACGACGCCGCAGACACCTGGTTCAACGGCTACAATTTATCCCTGGTCACCACAGTCTGGGTAGGGTTCAGCAACCACGACCCACTGGGTGCAAGGGCTTACGGTTCAAACACCCCATTGCCCATCTGGATCGATCTTATGGAAGAGGCGCTGGCGGGTGTCCCCGAACTATTGCCCGACCAACCACCCGGCCTTGTCACAATGAAAATTGACCCGACAACCGGCGAGGTTGCTGCGCCGGGTCAACGTGGGGCTATTTTTGAGTACTTCCTGCGAGAATTTGCACCAACCAGTCAACCCGAAGTTCGAATACCGGGTCAGACGCGTCAACCGGGACAGGCAGCGCCGGAGGACATCAACGCCATAGATCTGTTCTAGCGGTTATTCAACCAGCTTGATGTAGTCGCCGGCTCGCGGTTCCCCTCTGGGGTGATGGCCGTTCAGAACCCGCAGGGTTTCTTCGCCGTGACTTTTTAATGGAATGCCGCGCGCCAGTTGGGCATAGGTCTGTCCGGGTTCTGCAACAACAACTTTCAACTTCTGGTTATTGATCAAACGCAGATCTGCGGCTGTCATCGCGCGAAAAGACATAACGGTCTCGCGGAACTGCTCTTCAAACACCTCCGGGTCACCGGTTTTGCCCAATTCACCGTTAAACAGATACACACCACCGTCTTTGTAAATCACGGCAATTTTACGCTTTTGCGCATCACCCGAAGACACTTCTATATCCGCCCAGTAACCGCTGTACGGTCCGACCTGGATCGCTTCCCCATCCTGCAGATCATCTCGGCGTAAGGTTTTGGTCAGGTACTCTTCCGGCGTTTGATTTTCTTCTGGAGGAGATGCCCGTTTAACGCCAATTTGCGCGTCGTCACCAGGCTTGGGCGGGGAACCAAAAACCTCAACTGACGTTGTTTGCACATCCCAGCCTTCGGGAAATTCCAACAGCAAGCGCAAAGCACCGTGATAGTAGACGCCGTCTTTGACCACACCGGCAGCCGATTCATCGCCGTACGTCAGGCCAGCCAACATCTCAAAAAAGTCGCGCTCCGGCTCTGCCAACTCCTCCAGGACAATACCCTGGGACTGGGCTACCAGTTCGTGGATGCGTTTCTCGTGAGCTGGGTGAGAACCGAGGATGCCATGATAGACCGCAGGGCGATTGTTTATGGTGCGCTGGAAGTCATCGTGATCTCGCAGCATCTGGATACTGTTCAACAAACCACGCGGATCGTAGCCGGCGTCCGCCAACCAGCTTGCACCGTATTCATCCGCTTCAAGTTCATATTCTCGACCATAACCCGCAAGCGAGGCCTGGGTCAGCGTATTGGCTAGACCGTATGTTGCACTCGTACCCGTTGCGAACGTACCCAGCCAACCGAGCAATTCGCCTAAACGGGCGCGACTGACTTTACGTTTACCATGCCGTCCGACGACGTGGCCAATTTCGTGGCCGATAACCGCTGCCATTTCGTCTTCGCTGTTGAAGTGCGCAAGGATGCCCCGGGTGACAAAGATATAAGCGTCGGGCGTGGCAAAGGCATTGACCATGGATTGATCAGTAACCGTAAACGTGTAGTTGTGGCCTGCGTGCGGACTTACAGCCAGAATACGTTCTCCAACCTCAGTGACGTAGTCCTGCCACTCCTGGTTAGGGTAGATCAGCTCTTTTTCAAGAAATTCGTTGTAGGTTTCTGCGCCGGGACCCGCCCAGCTCGCTGATGGCAATGCCACCATCGCGGCTGCAATAAGGGCAGTCGTTGCTGAACGTGTAAAAATATTTGCCGAACCTTGCACCAATATGCTCCTGAACCTGCTGTGTCTTTCGACCACAAACATGCTGCAAGGTGCCATTTCAGCTAAAACTTCTTCGTCTTACAACAGCCCCAGTCAGACAGCTGGGGCCTGACCAGCTACTCTTCGCTGGCTGCAGCTTTACCGCGATTACCGAATCGCTGACGGAAGCGCTCTACACGACCACCAGAATCAATGTTCTTCTGTTTGCCGGTGTAGAAAGGGTGACAGTTGGAACAAACGTCAAGGTGAATGTCTTCGCCCAGCGTCGAACCCACTTCGATCACGTTGCCACAGCTACACGTGGCTTTTACTGTTTGATATTGCGGATGGATTTCGGGCTTCATGTCGCTGACCTTTGTCCAGAACTGAAAATAAGGGCGGCGTACTCTACCAGAAGTGTTGCCAATGGCAACCACCAGACATCGACCTCTTCCTCCCGCAGACCGCTCTGAAATACACTGGGAGGAGGCTACCGCAAAGTTACACTAGGGCTTCACCCGAACCTGATGCGACAATAACCGCATGCCTGTCCCCAGCCGCGTTATTCAAGTTGCCGTACCTCGACCGCTACATGCGGTTTACGACTACCATGTGCCTGAAACTCTACCCATGCCGAGCGTCGGCACACGAGTGAAAGTCCCTTTCGCCCGGGGTACCACCGTGGGTATCTGCGTCAGCGACACCGTTGAGAACCCGCATAAAACCCTCAAAGACGTCGAAAGTGTGCTGGACACCGCAGCCATTGTCCCCGCAGAACTGATGGCGCTGGCTCACTGGATGAGCAATTACTACCACTACCCACTGGGTGAAATTTTAGCCACTGTACTGCCTGCTGCTGCCCGTCGTGGTGCCACCTGCAGCATCGACCCTCCAGATCACTGGCGTGTGTCCAGCGATGCGTTCGACAACGCACGTGCACCGGCACAAGCCGCCCTGTTCAATGATCTGCTGCAGCAGGGACCCACTGCCACCGCTGATCTGGTTGCGGCAGGCCATAGCCGCGCGACGTTGAAGAATCTGAGCAAGGGTAACTACATTGAGCGCTGTGAACCGGACATCACCCCTCCCAGTGAAACACCGCCGACCCCAACAGACGCGCAGAATACCGCCATCAAGGCAGTCGCTGCCGCCCTGAAGAGTTTTGCGCCATTTCTACTGGAGGGGGTAACCGGCAGTGGCAAAACCGAAGTATATCTGCGCACCATTGCGCCGGTTGTTGAAAGTGGCCAGCAGGTGTTGGTACTGGTGCCTGAAATCGCATTGACGCCGCAAACCCTGTCACGCTTTCAGCGCCGTTTCGGGCAGGTTGGCATGTTGCACTCCAACCTCAGTGATAACGAGCGGCTACAAACCTGGCTGAAGTGTGCTGCAGGTGAAATTTCGGTTTTGATCGGCACGCGCTCAGCGGTATTTACTCCGTTCAAAGCGCTGGGCCTGGTCATTGTTGATGAAGAACACGACAGTTCTTATAAACAGGGTGATGGATTGCGTTACTCCGCCCGGGACCTTGCCATCAAAAGGGCTCAGACTCATCAGGTGCCGGTAGTGCTGGGCAGCGCCACACCTTCCCTGGAGTCGTTATATAACGCCAATCTCGGGCGCTACCAGAAACTCGATCTGCCGTATCGGGCAGGCAACGCACAGATGCCCAGCTATCGGGTCATCGATATGCGTGGCATCCAGCACACAGACGGTATCTCTGTACCGCTGGAGCGCGTGATCCGCGACCACCTGAGAGCGCAAGGCCAGGTCCTGGTGTTTCTCAACCGCCGCGGGTTTGCACCTACGCTGTTGTGCGCGGCGTGTGGCTGGCAGGCGCATTGTTCAGATTGCGACGCGCGCTTAACCCTGCACAAAAATCCGAGCCACCTGGTCTGTCACCACTGCAGCCTGAAGTTTCAGGTACCCAAAACCTGTGAAGGATGCGGTGGCAATGGTCTGATACCCGTCGGGCTGGGCACCCAGCGCACCGAATCCGGCCTGCAGAATCTGTTCGGCGATGTACCCGTCTATCGTATCGACCGCGACACAACGCGGACCAACGCAAAGCTGGAGGCGCAGTTTGCCAAAGTGAACCAGGGTGACCCCTGCATCATGGTCGGCACCCAGATGCTGGCCAAAGGTCACCATTTCCCCAACGTCACCTTAGTTGCGGTGCTCAACGCTGACGCAGGTTTCGCCAGCGCCGATTTTCGTGCTCCAGAGCGCACCGCCCAACTGATTGTTCAAGTGGCAGGACGTGCCGGGCGGGAACAGCGCCCAGGCCAGGTATGGATACAGTCTTACCAACCTGAGAATGTTCTACTGCAGCGCCTGATCAACGAGGGCTATCCTGGTTTTGCAGCCGCTGAGCTTGCTGAGCGAGCTAAAAATGGATTCCCACCGATGCACTCAATGGCGCTGCTGCGAGCTGAATCAGCTCAGGGCCAGGAAGCCATGGAATTGCTCAACCAGCTAAAAGCACAATTAAGCGGTGTCGAAATCATGGGCCCGGTACCGGCACCCTTGGCACGCATTGCCAACCGCAATCGTTTTCAACTGATGCTATTGGCACCCAAGCGCACGCAGCTGCACGCAGCGCTGCGACGTTTGCAGATACCCAAGGTGCCGTACACACTACGTTGGTCTATTGATATTGATCCTTACGACAGTCTTTGAGCGCAGACCTCGCGAGAAGTCGCTGGTATGATGCGCGCCGCCCAGACATTTGTAGCAACTCAATAGATAAGTCTGACCTTAGAATCTGCCGTAAAAACCATGACCAAAGATTTTGCCGGTCGCACCTCCCGTGCGGCCAAACCAAAAAAGCACGTTCAGAAACGTAAACCCGCGGCACCTGCCCGCGTGTTCTTTCATGGCCCAAGCTTCACGACAGGCGCACTGGTAGGCGCTGCCATTGTCATCCTTGCGGCCTACGCACCGGATTACCTGAGTGAAAACAGCAAGGCTGGCGCAACATCAGTCACCACCGCAGCAGATCAGGCGGGGCCGACGCAACCCATGCAGTTTGATTTTCCAGACATGCTCAGAGACACCGAGGTGCTGGCAGATCCGGAACCCTACGCCGTACCGTCCACCAGCAGCAGTGATCAACCAGACGTCTGGCATATTCAGGCTGCCTCGTTTCGCGAAAAAGCAGACGCCGATGCGCTACGCGCGCGCCTGTTGCTCGATAACCTGCCGGCTACCACAGAGGTTTCCAGTGCCAATGGCAGCCAATGGCACAGAGTGGTACTGGGGCCATTCGCCCGGCGAGTAGATGCCAACCGGGCGATGACCCGCCTGCGGGAACAAGGCATTTCCGGCATGTGGCTGAACAACCACAATTGAAATGTATCTAATCCGCCCCCACTATCGGCTTTCAGGTGCTACCCATGCACCGGCTTACAACACACACTGCTCTCGGACAAGGACACCCCGAGCGCCGGCGTCGCTGGCCAGCGCAATGCAGCTTTAATCGACACGTACGAAGGGTATTTTATGGAACTGTTTCACGGCACCACCATTGTCAGCGTCAGAGACGCAACACATGTGGCTATGGGCGGCGATGGCCAGGTTTCAATTGGCGACACGGTCATGAAAGGCAACGCGGTGAAGGTGCGTAAGCTCTACCAGGGCAAAGTCATGGCCGGTTTTGCCGGTAGCACCGCAGACGCGTTCACCTTGTTTGAAAAATTTGAGGGCACCCTGGAGAAGTACGGCGGACAGCTTACCCGTTCGGCAGTTGAACTGGCCAAAGAGTGGCGCACAGATCGCGCCCTGCGGCGCCTTGAAGCCATGCTCATTGTCGCCGATCAGACCGCCACTTTACTGATCAGTGGCACCGGCGATGTGATTGAACCTGAAGCCGGCGTACTCGCGATTGGCTCGGGTGGCGCGTATGCCCGGGCAGCAGCAACCGCGCTGGCTGAAAACACAGACATTCCCGCCGCCGAAGTAGTTGCCAAAGCACTGAAAATTGCCGGTGACATCTGCATCTACACCAACCATCAACACACCATCGAAACTCTGGCACTGTAATAAATGGAAACCATGACTCCTCGTGAAATTGTCCACGAACTCAACAATCACATTATCGGGCAGGACGACGCCAAACGCGCCGTTGCCATAGCTTTGCGTAACCGCTGGCGACGGATGCAGATAGAACCCGCGTTGCGCGAAGAAATCAGCCCCAAAAATATCCTCATGATCGGTCCTACCGGCGTTGGTAAAACCGAAGTGGCCCGCCGTCTGGCGAAACTGGCGCAGGCGCCATTTATCAAAATTGAGGCCACCAAATTCACCGAAGTGGGTTATGTGGGCCGCGATGTAGACTCCATTATCCGCGACTTAACAGAAGTGGCGGTAAACATGCTGCGCGAAATCGAAATGAAGCGTGTACAGACACAGGCAGACGACCGCGCCGAAGAACGTATTCTCGACGCCCTGCTGCCTGAGCCCCGCGCGGTGGGCTTTGGCGACGACGCCGCTTCCAAGGATGGCTCCGCAACCCGCCAGATGTTCAGGAAAAAACTGCGCGAAGGCGAGCTCGACGAGAAAGAAATTGATATAGAGCTGTCGCAAATGGCCATGGGTGTAGAAATCATGGCACCGCCGGGTATGGAAGAAATGGTCAGTCAGATGCAGGGCATGTTCAGCAACCTTGGCAATAGCCGTAAAACCACCAAACGCCTGAAAATCAAAGACGCAAAAGACAAAATTCGCGAGGAAGAAGCCGCCGGACTGGTTAACGAAGAGGACATCAGGTCCCGTGCGGTAGATGCCGTTGAACAAACCGGTATTGTGTTTATTGACGAGCTGGACAAAGTTGCCAAGCGTACAGAAAACAACAGTGCGGACGTTTCCAGAGAGGGTGTACAACGTGACCTGCTGCCACTCATCGAAGGCTGCACCGTCACCACCAAATACGGCGTTGTGCGCACAGACCATATCCTGTTCATCGCCTCAGGCGCTTTTCACCTGGCCAAACCCAGCGATCTGATTCCAGAGCTGCAGGGGCGGCTGCCGATTCGGGTTGAACTCAAAGCGCTCACCCCGGAAGACTTCAAGCGTATTCTGGTAGAGCCAAATGCCAGCCTGACCGAACAGTATCAGGCGCTGATGAGCACGGAACAGATAGATCTGGAGTTTTCCGATGACGGCATAGAGCGCATTGCTCAACTGGCCTGGCAGGTAAATGAAGGCACCGAGAACATCGGCGCCAGGCGGTTGCATACGGTGATGGAACGGCTGCTTGAGAACTTGTCGTTCGAGGCTGGTGACAGCATTAAGAAACACGTCCTGGTGGACGCTGAATATGTCGATGCTCATCTGGGCGACCTGGTCAGCGACACTGATTTAAGCCGCTTTATCTTGTAGTCTTACCGCTTATGAATCCGCCAAAAAATATTACCTATCACAAAATTGGTCATACCCTGGAGTTGACCTGGGCAGACGATAATTTTGTGTTGCCAGCAGAGCTGCTGAGGGTCTACAGCCCCTCTGCGGAAGTACGCGGTCATTCGCCAGATCAGCGCAAGCTGCAGACGGGCAAAAAGAACGTGGGTATCCGGCAGATTGAGCCCGTAGGTAACTATGCAATTCGCATCGTATTTGACGATGGTCATGACAGCGGTATTTTCGCCTGGGAGTTTCTGCACGATCTGGGCAAACAGATGGACAAGTACTGGCAGGATTACATCACCGAATTAAAAACCGCTAACGCATCACGGCTACCCAGTATTCCCGTAGGACAGTGGACGCCATCGCGCCCTGGTACTTAAACCACCTCTGCTTGAAACAAATTTATGAGCGACCAGCAACAAGTTAATTTCGGTTTCAAAAAGGTCACGCCTGCGGAGAAGACCGCAATGGTTGGCGACGTTTTTAAACGCGTCGCGAAACGCTACGATGCGATGAACGATCTCATGTCTCTGGGCACACACCGCATCTTTAAGCGTATGGTGATTCAGATGTCCGGTCTGCGTACGGGACACACCGTGTTAGACCTGGCTGGTGGTACCGGCGACATGTCCGCTCTGTTTGCAGATGCTGTCGGCGATACCGGCACTGTCGTATTAACAGATCTCAATGCACAAATGATGCAGGTGGGCCGTGATCGCCTGCTCGACCAGGGCTGCGCCCAGGTTGAATTCATCCGCGCACCCGCCGAGGCACTGCCTTTTGCCGACAACACGTTCGATTGTGCATGTGTCAGCTTCGGCTTACGGAATTTCACTGACAAAGACCTTGCGCTGCGGGAGTTGCTGCGCGTCCTGAAGCCAGCCGCTGCACTGCTAGTGCTGGAATTCTCGAAACCTGAAAACCCTGCACTCAGCGCCGCCTATTCTGTTTTTCAGTCTCTCTGGCCCAGCGCAGGACAGGCAATTGCCGGTGATTCGGAACCTTATAAGTACCTGGTGGAATCCATTCGGGTACACCCCGACCAACGCGCCTTAAAGCAAATGTTTGAAGATGCTGGTTTTACGGACACCAGTTATCACAACCTGGTTGGCGGCGTAGCCGCCATTCATCGCGGCTGCAAACCCGTCTAGGGCGCTCTGACCGTGCCACAACCCGGCAACATATTTATCCAGCAGCTGATGTCGCTAGCATCTCAGGTGAGTCATCAGATCACCGCGGGTGTGCTCGCATCCGACCCTGTGACCGCTGGTCAATTTGCCGCTTTTGCCGGTCGTTGTATCGAGCTGCAAAGCCATACGCCTGCATTCACCCTGCACCTGGTTCTACAGGCTGATGGCGTGCAGACATTCTCAGGGCCTGCAGAGACACCCCACGCGATTATCAAAGGCAGCGGCCGCGAACTGATACAGGCTCTGCTACCCGGTGGCAGCCTTGATGGCTTAACAATTGAAGGCGATACAGCCCTGCTGTTTAACCTGACAACGCTGTTGAAGAAGTTCTCTCCGGATGTTGCCACGCCGCTCGGACGTTTTATCGGCGAAGCCAATGCGGCCAACCTGGTGGGTAGCGCAGAGCTTGGCCTGGCCGGCCTGAAAACGGCATTGTCAGGCTTGAGCCAGACGGTGCAGCAACAGGCGACAGGGCAATTCGTAAAAGTTAGACAATTAGATGAATTGTTAGAAGGGATTGATGGGCTGCGCTTGCGTGTGGATCGACTCGCGGCTAATTTAAGCCGGGTAGAACAGGCCAAGCGACAAGCAGATCAGCCTTGAGCAACAACTGGCGACAATCCCGCTTGATTCTAGGCCAGGTTTTCCGCCACAGGCTTGACCTGCTGATACCCGTTGAAACCATCCCCAGAGCTTTCCCGCGCTGGTGTTTAAGAACCCTGCACAAAATTCTACCGACGCCTTCCACACCACGCGGGCAACGTCTGAAGCAGGCGTTTGTCGAGCTGGGGCCAGTCTATGTGAAACTCGGACAACTGCTGTCTACGCGACGGGATCTTTTGCCGGCAGATATTGCGGACGCTCTAGCTGATCTGCAGGACAAAGTGCCACCGATCGCCAATTTCGACGTTGACAGATTTGTCAGCACACAACTCGGCACCGCCAGCGGATCGGTTTTTTCGGAGCTGCAGCACACCCCTCTGGCAAGCGCATCCATTGCCCAGGTTCATTGCGCTACGCTGAATACCGGCGAAAGTGTGGTGGTCAAGCTGGTCCGACCGGGCATTGAGCAGGCCATTGTGCAGGACATGGCCCTGCTGAAAAAACTCGCCGGTTTGATTAATAACAAGATTCCAGGGGCGCAGCGTTTGCAACTGCCCAGGGTCATGTCTGACCATGAAGACGTGTTATTGCAGGAGCTCACCATGTTTGGTGAGGCGCGCAACCAGATTCAGCTGCGGCGCAATTTTGCAGATTCCGACCTGCTCTATGTACCCCGCGTGTACCCCGAACATACCCGCGAGCAGCTGCTGGTTATGGAACGGGTTTATGGCATTCCCATCAACCAGGTTGATGAACTCAAAGCGCGTGGCGTGGACCTCAAAGTACTGGCTCACAAGGGTGTAGAAACGTTCTTCAAGCAGGTTTTTGAACACAACTTTTTCCACGCCGATATGCATCCCGGCAATATCCTGATCGATACCACCGATCCGGTTAACCCCAAATACATCGCACTGGATTGCGCCATCATCGGCAGCCTTACTGAAGCTGACCAGAATTATCTGGCGCAGAACCTGCTGGCATTTTTCCATCGTGATTATAAACGCGTGGTCAGCCTGCACCTGGAATCAGGCTGGGTGCCAGCTGACACCGATGCTGAAGAATTTGAAGCCGTGATCCGCGATGTCTGTGAACCCATTTTTGCCAAACCGCTGGCGGAAATCTCATTTGCTGAGTTTGTCATCACCCTGCTCGACACCGCTGGCAAGTTTGAAATGGAAGTTCAGCCACAGCTGGTTCTGCTGCAGAAGACACTTCTCTATATTGAGGGCCTGGGTCGTCAGCTGTACCCGGAACTGGATTTATGGGAAACCGCTCAGCCGTTCATGGAACGCTGGGCAACTCAGCACCTTGGTCCGGTTGGGGTTGTGAACGACTGGATAAATGCCGGTCCCCAGGTGTGGCAACAACTGTCGCGCCTGCCAATGGTCATGGACCATACAGAAACGGAAATTCGGGTGCTGAAAAGCCAGCTTAAACGGCAGGCATCAGGTCTGGCCCAGATTGAGAAAAACATGGCGCAAGCCGCCAGCAGGCGTCGGCTCGGCCGCCTGGCAGGTATTATTGTGCTGCTTGCCAGTGTGTGGTGGCTATGGACGCCCTTGAACCAGACGTTCGCCCAGGGTGACCTGAGCCTGTGGGCAGGGCTAGGCGGCGCACTTGTTGGTATCACACTCCTGCTGCGAACCTAATCAAAACCATGGGAATTGAAATGAGTCTGTTAGATGAACTTGCCGCGGTACTTGAAGCGCGCAAACAACAAGCCCCTGAATCTTCTTACGTTGCCAGCCTGTATCACGAAGGCACCAACCGAATTCTGCAGAAGATCGGCGAAGAATCCGCAGAATTAATTATTGCCGGTAAAGACAATTGTGCAACATCTGAGTTGCGAAATGGCAGCACACGGGATGAAGTTGTCAAAGAAACTGCGGATCTGTGGTTCCACTGCATGGTATTGCTGGCACACCAGGGGCTCAGTCATAACGAAGTACTGGCAGAGTTAGGGTCGCGTTTTGGTATCAGCGGCCACGATGAAAAAGCCAGCCGCTCCACATAAACCCGGGTAAACAAAAAATTCATCAAGGTTTCGCGACACGTCGCTGTATTACCGGGAAATAACCCTTCTATAATGCCCCTCACTACACCTCCAACACGGAAGACGTTATGTTCGGATTAGGCATGACCGAGTTACTGGTTATTCTTGCCATCGTTTTACTTATCTTTGGGCCCAAGCGTCTGAAAAGCATCGGCTCCGATCTTGGCGGCGCCATCAAAGGTTTTCGCAAGGCGGTAACCGAAGATGAAGAGACTAAACCCGAAGCGCAGGAACGCGTGATAGACGGCGATGAACAGAAGCCCGAGTCTCAGACCAGCAAGACCCAACAAGAAACAAAGATCTAACCACCCCTTATGTTAGACATTGGTGGTTTAGAACTACTACTTATTGCTGTGGTTGCACTGCTGGTCATTGGGCCAGAGCGTATGCCTGAAGCGTTGCGGACGCTGGGACTGTGGCTTGGCCGGCTGCGCCGCTCGTTTACCTCTGTGAAAAACGAGATCGAAAAAGAGATTGGCATGGACGAAGTCCGGCGCCAACTGCATAACGAATCTGTTATGGAACAGATGAAGCGCATCGAAGCGGAAGTACAGAATTCCGTCAACCCCGACTTCAACGACCCGCACCCGACCAGAGAAACTGCTGCAGAGACAAACACCGAGGCTGCAGATCCTGAGTTACCCGACGACGAACCGCCGCCACCCCCACCCAGAAGCGAAGCTGAACTGGAGGCTGAACACCAACGGCGCCAGAAACAAATGAATGCAGACCAGAGCTGATGGCAACCGGTAGCGAAGATACGCGAGACCCGCATGATCAGGCCGTAGACAGCGACGAACAGCCTTTCCTCGACCACCTGATTGAACTGCGCAGCCGCATCTTGCGCAGCCTGATGGTTGTCGGCGTTCTGTTTATCCCGATTTACTATTTTGCTAACCCTTTGTATGAGTGGATCGCAGCGCCTTTGACTGCGGTTTTGCCACAAGGCTCGTCGATGATTGCAACCCAGGTTGCTTCGCCGTTTATAACGCCTTTTAAGCTCGCAGTTTTTGCTGCAATTTTTCTTGGTGTACCGTTTCTACTACATCAGGTCTGGGCCTTTGTATCACCCGGTCTGTACCGCCACGAAAAGAAATTTGCCGTGCCTTTACTGCTGTCGAGCATCCTGCTGTTCTACGCTGGCATGGCTTTCGTTTACTACTTAGTTTTCCCGCTGGTGTTTGCGTTCTTCACAACGGTTGCGCCAGAAGGTGTTGCCATCATGACCGACATCAATCAGTACCTCGACTTTGTACTGAAGATGTTTCTGGCTTTTGGTATCGCTTTTGAAATCCCTGTAGCCACGATGCTGCTGGTCTGGTCCGGCATCGCAACGCCGGACGGTATGGCTGCCAAAAGACCGTATGTCATTGTTGGCTGTTTTATTGTCGGCATGCTGTTAACCCCACCCGATGTTGTCAGTCAGCTATTGCTCGCCTTGCCTACCTGGATTCTGTTTGAAGTCGGCATATTCATGGCGCGATATATCGAAAAACGTGAGCAAAGAGACGACTGAGCAGGACCATGCTTCGTTCAGTGGCAATCCTGGATCAAGACGGCGAGGTCATCGCCAACGAAACCAATATCCTGCCTGTTTACAGCATTGCTAAAACATTTATTGCCAGCGCGATCCGTGCAGCAAACATCGACCCCGCAAGACACGTGGCGGATTGGATTTCATCCAACTGGTTACCTGACCCAGGCGGCATCACAGTAAGACACCTGCTGCAGCACACCGCGGGCTTGTCTGACTACACAACACTACCCGAGTATCACCAGGCTATTGAAAGGGGTGATAGAGCCTGGAGCGACGCAGAATACTCACGCAGGACACTGCACCAGCCCAGAGCACATCACCCAGGCGAACGGTTTGCCTACTCCAACCCAGGCTACTGGTTACTGAAAAAAATATTGGAGCTTGAGTGTAATCAGCCTTGGCCTGAAATCCTGGAACAATTGATTCTCAAACCGCTGGCACTACATGACACCCGCGTGCAAACCGGGCTGTTTGCTGACAGGTTACCCCAGCACCCCGCTGAGTGGGTCTGGCATGGTGTTATCTTATCCAGTGCGTTAGACATCGCGCGATTCATCCACTCAGACCTGGTTCGCGGCCTGCAGTTGGACGCCGCCAGGGTCAACGCTGATCAACCGCCCTGGGTAGATCCACACTATGGTTATGGCGTGATGATTGAGCCGGGCATTATGTATGGCCACAATGGCGGTGGTCCTGGTTACACAGCTTCTGCATTTCACTTCACTCAGAGCGGCCAGACAGGATGCGTATTGCTCGCCTCGGATGAACATGAAGGAGCGATGAAAATGCTGGTCGAGTTGATGAACGGGAAGAGCCGGCGACCTAACGTTCCAACATAAACGTTACGGGGCCATCGTTGACCAGCGTTACCTGCATATCAGCGCCGAACTTACCGGTTTGCACGGCAACCGTTCTGCGCAGCTCAGTAACAAAAGCCTCATACAGTGGCTCCGCGACATCAGGCGCTGCCGCTGTAGAGAACCCCGGGCGTCGCCCTCGACTGGTGTCTGCGGCCAGCGTAAATTGAGAAACCACAAGAATTTCCCCGCTGACGTCCACCACACTGCGATTCATCGGTTTAGCTGCGTCTGCACCTGCGCCGGGAAAGATACGTAAACCAACCACTTTGTCGGCCAGCCAGACAACCTGTTCATGATTATCGCCGGCGGCTACACCCAGGAAAACCAGCAGACCAGATTGAATACGTGCGATCTGCGATCCACCAACCTCAACCGAGGCGCTGGAAACTCGCTGCAACAGCGCCTTCATTTTCGACTGGCACGCGAACCACTAAGCTCGTTTGCGTTCATGTTCCTTCAGCAGCGCCTTGCGTACGCGGATGCCGCTTGGTGTCACTTCGACAAGCTCATCATCGTCGATAAATTCCAGGGCCTGTTCCAGGGTCAGCGTAATAGGTGCAGCTAGCGCAATGGCTTCATCTGTACCGGAAGCTCTCACGTTGGTGAGCTTTTTCTCTTTCAGCGGGTTTACAGTGAGGTCATTGTTCCGGTTATGCAGACCAACCACCATACCTTCGTAGACCACATCATTGGGTTTCACCATCATACGTCCGCGATTCTGCAGATTGAACAATGCAAACCCTACCGCCTTACCAGCAGCATTCGAAATCAGCACGCCGTTACTACGCTGGCCAACAACATCGTTTAAGCGCGGACCAAAGCCTGCTGACGCAAAGGACATGATTCCGGTACCCGACGTCTGCGATAAAAATACAGGGCGATAACCCATAATGCCGCGAGTAGGAATGCGGAACTGCAGCCGCACGCGACCCTGGCCATCAGGCATCATTTCCTGCAGTTCGCCACGGCGATCCCCTAACGCTTCCATCACTTTACCCTGATGCTGCTCTTCAATATCCAGACTGAGGGTTTCGTAGGGTTCTAAAATTTCCCCATTTTCTTCTTTGAAAATTACCTGGGGACGCGAAACTGCCAGCTCATATCCTTCGCGTCGCATGGTTTCAATGAGTACCGACAAATGCAGCTCGCCGCGACCAGATACTCGGAATCGATCCGGATCGGCAGTTTCTTCCACATTCAGCGCAACATTGTGCGACGCCTCTGTGAAAAGGCGCTCACGGATCTGACGGCTGGTCAGGAACTTGCCTTCTTTACCCGCGAGAGGCGAGTTATTTACACAGAACAGCATAGACAATGTTGGCTCATCAACCGTCAACGCCGGCAGCGCTTCAACATTATCCGGGTCACAGATCGTATCGGAAATACCAATACCGGCTATGCCTGTTATACAGACGATATCTCCGGCGGTTGCAGTCTCCTGTTCTACCCGCTCAAGGCCACTGTAGCCATAAACGGTCATGATTTTGCCTTTGCGTTGCTTACCTTCACGGTCAACGACGACGACCGGGTGATTGCGCCGCAACGAGCCGCGTGTCACACGACCGACACCCATGACCCCTTCGTAAGTGGAGTAGCCCAATGAAGTAATCTGCATCTGCAGACCACCTTCGCTGTCCACATCCGGCGGCGGCACTTCCGAAACAATCAGATCCAGTAGCGGCGCCATGTCTGTGGCCATCTGATCAAGTTCTGTGCCGGCTATACCCTGCAGGGCAGAGGCGTAAATCACGCTGAAATCCAACTGTTCCTCGGTGCCACCCAGGCTATCGAAGAGATCAAACACTTCGTCCATGACGCGATAGGGCTCTGCGCCCGGGCGGTCAATTTTGTTCACCACAACAATAGGCTTGAGCCCAAAGCCAAAAGCTTTCTGAGTGACAAAACGCGTTTGCGGCATAGGCCCATCCACCGCATCGACAAGCAGCAATACGGCATCGACCATCGAAAGAATACGCTCGACCTCACCGCCGAAGTCCGCGTGCCCGGGTGTATCCACAATATTGATGCGCGTACCGTTGTAATCAATAGAGGTGTTTTTCGACAGGATCGTAATACCCCGCTCTTTTTCGAGATCATTGCTATCCATGACACGTTCGGCGCCATGTGCGGCAACAAAACCTGTCTGTTGCAACAGTTTGTCAACCAGGGTGGTTTTACCATGGTCGACGTGGGCGATGATCGCAACGTTTCTTACGTTTGGGTTAGACACTGGACTAGATGGCCTCTTTAAGGTTTGCGGTGGGGGGAGAAAAACGGCGGCGATTATGGCGGAACAATGTTGAACTGTCGCGCCAATATTCAAGAGAATTTTTCAAGTGTTAAAATGCGAACAATAAACCCTGCACCATTTATTGCCATCCGGGTGAGTGATCAGCGCAACTCTCAGTCGTCAGGTGGGTAAAAAAGCCCAAATAGCGCTATAACGGGGCACTTTAGCAGAAAACGCACCTTATTAGTGCGTTTCTCGAAACAAACGCCCATGCAGCCCCTTATATTAGCCGCATCTCCGTGGCACACTTCTTGCTCTTCACAACGCGCACCATAATGCACACGGTTCAACGCGTGAGCTGCGAACTTTTAATCTTCGAGTAGAGAAGGAGACACATACAACAATGAAATCCAAATTAGAATACATCTGGCTGGACGGCTACAACCCGACTCAAAGCCTGCGCAGCAAAACCCAGGTCCGCAAAGACTTTGGCGGCACCCTTGAAGAGTGCCCTATGTGGTCCTTCGATGGCAGCTCAACCGAGCAGGCAGAAGGCGGCGATTCAGATTGTCTGTTAAAGCCCGTATACATCTGCCCCGATCCAGACCGCAAAAATGGCTACCTCGTCATGTGTGAGGTATTGAATGCAGATGGTACGCCGCATGCCTCCAATGGCCGTGCCACCATCGACGACGATGACGAAGATTTCTGGTTCGGCTTCGAGCAGGAATACTTCCTCTGGGATATGGACACCAACTTACCTCCGGGCTTCCCACATGGCGGCTACCCGCCACCACAAGGCCCTTACTACTGCTCTGTGGGCGCAAAAAATGCCTATGGTCGTGAATGTGTAGAAGAGCACATGGACCTGTGTCTGGAAGCAGGCATTAACCTTGAAGGCATCAACGCTGAGGTTGCAGCGGGTCAGTGGGAATTCCAGGTGTTTGCCAAAAGTGCCAAGCGTGCAGGCGATGAAACTTGGGTTGCTCGATACCTCCTCGAACGCACCGGTGAACGTTATGGCTACGCCATCAACTGGCACCCCAAACCTCTGGGTGACACTGACTGGAACGGCAGCGGTATGCATGCCAACTTTTCTAATGGCACTATGCGCGAATCTGGCAAAGAAGAAACGTTTACCAAGATTTGTGAAGCCTTTGGACGCAATATTGAACGCCACATCAGCGTCTATGGCGAACACAACGAGCATCGCTTGACCGGTAAACATGAAACCCAGTCTATCGACATGTTCAGCTACGGGGTTTCTGACCGCGGCGCTTCTATCCGAATCCCGATCACCACCATGACTGATGGCTGGGTGGGTCGACTCGAAGATCGTCGAACTGCTTCTAATGCCGACCCCTACAAAGTAGCGGCTGCAATTGTGAAAACCACCAAGGAAGGCCTCGCCAGCTAGCTCTGGCCACCTTTTACCGATTGGTTACAAAGCCCTGCTCCCAGCAGGGCTTTTTTTTGCAGATTTGTGGTCCAATAGGCTACTTGCAGCACGCTTAAGAGGCAGACTGACACCATGAACGTAAAATTGTTGAATCCCGGCAAACCCCTGTTACTTACCTTACTTGTGGTTACAGCTGCCAGTCTTACATCAATATCCGATGCTCATGCCGCGATCTACAAAACAACCGACGCCGAGGGCAACGTGGTTTTTACGGATGTGCCCCCCAAAGATGATGCGAAACCCGTTGAGATCCAACAGGGAAATTTATATCTCCCTGAGGTTGCAACGCCCGCTGCGGAGACGCCTGCTGCGGAAGATGGCGTAGACAGCGCTGAGGACACCCCAACCGCTGGCTATGACAAGATTACGATTACCTCGCCCGCGCATGATGAAGCCTTGCGGGAAAACACTGGCAATATCTCTGTCAGCGTTGCCCTGGACCCGGCGCTGGATACAGCTGCTGGCCATCGCCTGCAGGTATTGGTTGATGGACAGGTTGCAGGGGAAGCTCCCAGCGCAACCGTATCATTGCAGAATATCGATCGCGGCACACACTCACTGATCGCCCAGGTTATCGACGCCAACAACAGCGTACTGGCCAGTTCCAGTGCTGTTGTTGTACATCTGCAGCGCTACTCGATCCTTAACAACCCGCGTAAACAACCCAAGGGATAACCCTTTTTCCCTCTCCTATTGACCCAAAACAGGGCATGCCCTATTTTGGTGCATTGAGGCCACCGAATATTCGTACCTCGGCCCGACTGCACTACCACGAGGAAGTCCTTTCGGGCCTTATATTCTGAGCCTTATAGGCGAAGTGTACGCTTACTAACGTCCTTTCGAAAAAGCGGCCCGAATGTTGCTTAGCCTATGGATTGGGGAGTACCGGATTGGGGACAAGCTTTTATGTCGATAGATAATTACAAACAGATACTCGACAACATGGTGACTGCGGTTTTGGTCATCGATGAAAGCCTGCGCATCGAAAATGTTAACTCTGCCGCCGAGAACCTGTTACACACTTCTGCAGCGCATGCCATCGGCCTGCCGCTGCATCAATTGATCATGCGCGCTGACGAAATTATTCCAGCATTGCAGAATGCGCTGGAAGAGGGACAACCCTACACTGAACGTGAAGCCACCCTGCGGCTACCGGATAACGTCACCGAAGATGTCGACTTTACTGTCTCAATACTAAATCGCCCTCCTGACGGACCGCGCTCACTGGTCCTGGAACTGCAAGCCCTGGCCCGACTGAAACGCATCAACAAAGATGGTGCATCCGTTGCGCGCCAGGAAACAGCGCGACAACTCATCCGCGGGCTTGCTCACGAAGTGAAAAATCCGCTTGGCGGGATTCGCGGCGCGGCTCAACTGCTCGAGCGAGAACTGCCAGAGGAAGAGCTAAAAGAATATACTGGCGTCATCATCAGTGAAGCAGACCGACTCAAAGAACTGGTTGACCGGATGCTGGGCCCGCAACGCGAACTGGCCATCACACCGGTAAACATCCTCAAAGTATTTGAACATGTCATCCAACTGATCGAAGTGGAGCGCCCCGACACCATCAAATGGATACGCGACTACGATCCGAGCCTGCCCCACTTTGAAGCAGATGAGTCGCAGATCATCCAGGCAATCCTGAACATCCTGCGCAATGCCTCACAAGCCCTGCAGAATACTGAAGAGCCGCAGATTCTGCTGCGCACGCGAGTTGTCAGGCAGTTCACCATCGGCGCGTGCAGACACCGCATGGTGATGCAGCTCGACATTGCCGACAACGGACCAGGTATTGACCAGGACCTCGAAGATCGAATTTTTTTCCCTATGATCAGCGGCCGACCCGACGGCACCGGCCTGGGGCTGGCAATTACACAGAACATAATTTCTCAACATCATGGTTCTATCCAGGTGAATTCGCGCCCGGGGCAAACTTGCTTCTCGATTTACCTGCCTTTTCAACAAGCAGTGGCGCCGTCTACTAAAGAATCGTGAGCACAACGATGGATATGCAAAATGAATGACAACGTTTGGGTAATCGACGATGACCGATCGATACGCTGGGTACTCGACCGTGCTTTAAGTCAGGCAGGTATTCCAATCACAGCTTTCAACACTGCTGATCAGGCGATGCACCACCTGCACAACGATGCGCCTATGGCGATCATTACAGATGTGCGCATGCCCGGCATGTCAGGACTGGAATTCCTTGAGCAGGTGCAAGCCACGCACCCGTCTGTGCCGATCATTATCATGACTGCTCATTCAGATCTGCAGAGCGCTGTGGCTTCTTTTGAACAGGGCGCATTCGAATATCTGCCCAAACCGTTTGATGTTGATGAAGCCGTAGCGGTGGTACAGCGAGCCATTGCTCATTCTCAGGAAGCCGGGGCCCTGGACACCGTCAAGAGTGAACCTGCGCCTGAAATCATTGGTCAGGCACCGGCTATGCAGGAAGTGTTTCGCGCCATTGGCAGGCTGTCTTCTTCAAATGTGTCCGTGCTCATTAACGGTCCTTCCGGCTCAGGCAAAGAGCTGGTCGCCAAAGCCCTGCACCGCCACAGCCCGCGTTCCAGCAGCCCGTTTATCGCATTAAACGTTGCCGCGATTCCCGATGAGCTGATCGAGAGTGAATTGTTCGGGCACGAAAAAGGCGCCTTTACCGGCGCTAACGCACGCCGTGTTGGCCGCTTCGAACAAGCGGATGGCGGCACGCTGTTTCTGGATGAAATTGGCGATATGCCCTCTACTGCGCAGACCAGATTACTCAGAGTATTGGCGGAAAATGAATTCTATCGCGTCGGCGGGCATCAATCTGTACAGGTAGATGTGCGCATCATTGCGGCCACCCACCAGAATCTGGAAACGCTGGTTACCCAGGGCAAGTTTCGCGAGGATCTGTATCATCGTCTCAACGTCATCCGCGTGCACGTACCTGCGCTTGCGGAGCGGCGTACCGATATACCTGTGCTGGCACGTCACTTTCTTGAGGCAGCGGCCCGCGAGCTGGGTGACGAGAGCAAACGCCTGGCGCCTGAAACCGAAGATTACCTCACTCTGCTACCGTGGCCCGGTAACGTGCGTCAACTTGAAAATACCTGCCGCTGGCTGCATGTCATGGCCAGCTCGCGCATCATTCTGGTTGAAGACCTGCCATCCGAATTGCAGCAAAGCAATACCGCAAGCGCAGACGCAGACTGGGAAAGTGGCCTTGAACTGTGGGCCACTCAACTCCTCGACAGTGCCGAGAGCATCCCGTTACTGGATGCCGCCATGCCGCGTTTCGAACGAATTATGATCACTGCAGCGTTAGGTAAAACAGGGGGTCGGAAAAAAGACGCCGCAGAGCTGTTAGGTTGGGGGCGCAATACATTAACAAGGAAGATGCAGGAACTGGAAATGTAAGCCCTTACGCTATTGGATGGCAAATGATCAAGGTGTTGCCTGAACCAGCACCTCACGCTCTGCAACCAGGCTGCCGGCAGCACAGCTGCCAACACTATTCACCGTGTAGTAGATACGCCCTCGGACCGTTTCACTGTCACAGGTCACGTTCGCCTGACACGCCGGCAAACCCGGGGTATTGGCAAAATCAAACAGTTGGTCTGCACAAGCACCAACACCCTCTGGTGCAAATATTCTATTCAGGCCCAACTGCGCACCATTGCTTGCAGTCAGCGCAGCGCGCTGATTCAGCGTCTCTATCGCGGCGCTCCCCGCGCCAAGCTGCACGCTACGGGTAATCGCAACCGTCAGGGCCGCGACTATCGTGATCAACGCTATTGCTGCGATCAACCCGGCACCAGAAACTTTGTGCGGCTGACTACGGCACATTTCGCACCTGCACGTTAGCGGCAACGTCAAAAGCAACATCACCTACGCCCAACTGCAGATTCAGCCGCACCAGAGCATTACGCTGCAGCGTGACGGGTGCAATATCGAATACCGCTGATGCAGAGGTTGCCATCAGGCTACGCCCCGGCAGGGTTGTCGGCAAACTGGGAGGCGTAGGTTGGGCCGCCTGAAAACCATAGTTGCTGTAACGATAGAGATTACCTGCATCAACACAGTAACTCACGGGCTGATCCACCCAGAACAGGCGACTGCCGGCAGAGGCTGCCGGAAATTGATGGGCACTATCAAACAACACCGCGACTTCACCCTGCGCATCAGGTGCAGTCAAGGTGACCGGCGAACTGATCACACTGGACGATGCCAGCGTATAAACGTTACCACCACCCCCGACAGCAACCCGCAGTCCATTCAGACCAACTGCGTCGGGTGGCACTACCTGCATCGCCAGTGCTGGTGCAGCCTGGGGTAGATCCAGATACGAAGAACCGGCAATTACCGGCACAAACTCAAGACAACTGGCATTGACACGCACGCTGCCTGGCAGCGCGTTTCGGACTGACCTCGCCATACGCTCAAGGGTAAAACGGGCGCGCTGAGCCACCGCCTGACGATCTTGAACATCCGCATAACCTTGAGTAGAGCGGCTGATAAAATACACCGAACCCACCGACAGGATACCCAGGACGGCAATGACCACTACCATCTCAACCAGGGTAAAGCCCGAATGAGCCCGCGAGCATCTCATCAGTAATTACCCCGAATCATGACAAAGGGGCGCGATTGGCCATCAGGGGTTGTGACCGTAACCGAAACGATCTTCGCATCCGTAGCAGCATCCAGATTCCAGGCAGCTATTTGCGCGGCATCTGCGTAAACCACATCGACCGCTACCGAAAAACCACTGAATTCTGGCATGATCTGATTCAGCGAATCTCGAGGCGGCGTATCCAGCAGGCCGTCATAGTCATCAACATCATCATAGTTCTCACGGCTCTCTGAATCCGGCCCCAGAACGCTGCAGGGTGTCACAGTCTGACAGGGTGGCGTACCGCCAACGGGCGTCACTTCATCGTAACGGCGAGACTGGATCTCCTCCAAATATCCCTGGGCGATGTATACCGCCTTCGCTTCCAGCAAACCGTCAGAAGAACGCGTAAAAGCAAAACCAAGGGCGCTGGCCATAGCCAGCGCAGCAATACTGATGATCAGCATCGCCACTATCGTCTCTACCAGAGTAAAACCACCGCTAACAAGCCTGTTCACTGACGTATCCTATTGGTTGGACACACAGAAACTGATCTGTATCGCCGCTGAAATGAGCTGTAATGCCAGCTTCCGGATCTAAAACATCTGTATCCAGAGAAGCCGCAATAAGGTCACCTTTGCCTGCAAAGGTCATCTGCCATACGCTCCCATTCGCAACCGGGTAGAGTGTGCCGCTGTTCGTCAGACTGAAATTGATGTTCTCCAAGGAAGCATCCGTCGCGCGCAACGTGCCGGACGAGCTTGCCACCAGCATTTCCAGGCGACCGTCGACAGGCGTGACATTTAGGATCACAGCTGTGCTGCGGGTTTGAGCAGCCTGAGCGGAAAAATGAATCTGTGCCGTGAGGGTCGTCGCCAGCACGCTGGCCGCAAAGATGTCCGGTTTTGAAAATCGACTGAGCGCGGTTGCGCTCAGAATCGATAGAAGAATGATAACAACGACGAGTTCTACAACGGTAAAGCCTGAACCTCGTCGCCGGGTAATCACTTTCATTGGGCTGAACTCAGCCCACCTGATCAGGGAATAGCAACAGGTGTGTTTTGTGTCACTGTACCTGTGTCAGATTCATAGGTGAAATACGCAACCGTTTCACCAGAGGCATTGCTCTGCGCGGTGTAGTAATACTCGCAGTCGACGCCGTTACGCACCGCTGTATAGTCTGTACCGCTGCCGTCGATGGCTGCGAGGCTGGCTGCACTGCCAACGGTTGGCGCGCTTTGCAGCAAGCCGGTGAAAACCGTTGCACAGTCTGCGGAATCGGCTGGCACGTTACCTGTCTGGCTTACCGTGCTGTAAGGGTAACCCTGAGGGGTCGTGCGTAAGTTATCAAAGTCAGGCGCTTGCGTGCCAGCTGCGGCCTGACCTTCAGCGATCCACTGTGCGTGATAAAGCGCGACACCGGTCGTGAAGCCCCCCAACACGCCTTCAAACGCAGCAGCGTGTGCATCATCGTCAATGTCGATAAACCGTGGTAATGCGGTAGCGGCAAGAATGCCGAGCAAAATAATGACAACAACCAGTTCTACAATGGTAAAACCCTGTTGCCGGGAAATAGTCTTTTTCATTTGGGCTCCTTTTAAACAAAGCATCTATAACAAGCAGTTCACGGTGAGCTCCTGTGTTATGCAGAACCTCTGTTTAAAGCGTAGACCTAATTTCTAATTTTGCGAGCCGAATACGGAACACGTCTCGTTCAGTTTGCGACGCTGTTCAAATCCCATAACGGTAAAAAAACACCCAGCGCCATAATCAGCACCAGACCTGCAATCCCGATAATGAGAATCGGCTCCAATGCATCCGTCATGCCTTTCAACGCGTACGAAACCTCTTCCTCGTAAAAGGAAGCCGCCTGTTCAAGCAGTTCATCCATGGTGCCGGTCTCTTCTCCGACAGCCATCATCTGCAGCACCACGGGTGAAAACAGTTTGGCCTGATGAGCGGTTGCAGTAATACTCTCACCCCGCTCAATACCGTTGCGCATGGCGTCGATGCGCTGGGCAAAATAGTCACTGCCTATCGCTTTGGCGACAATTTTCAAACCCTGGTTAAGCGGCACACCTGCGCGCGATACCATCGCAAAAGCGTGGCAGAAGCGAGACAGATAAATGCGCTCAAAAATACTCCCCAGGATAGGAATACGAATTTTCATGCCGTGCCAGCGTAACCTTCCCGCAGGTGTCTTCAGATAGGCTAACCAACCCCATATAGCGCCGATACCTGCAAGCAGAAGCAGCGGCCAGAAGCGCACAAAGAAGTCGCTGACTGCCAATATCGCTTGAGTCTGCCAGGGCAGGTCCGCACCGTATTTAGCAAATACATTGGCAAACGCCGGGATCACAAAAATGTTCAGAATCACAATCGCGATAGATATCGCCACCATGACAAACATTGGATACCTTGTTGCAGCCTGTATCCGCTGCCGGGTCTCCCGCTCCAATTCGAGATAACTGGCTATTTGACGAAACGCAGAATCGAGACGACCAGTGTTTTCTCCGACGTGAATCAGCGCCACAAACAAATCATTAAACACACGAGGGTGACGTCCCATGCTTGAAGCTATGTCCATACCGGATTCAAGATGGGTCCCCACGTCTTCCAGCACTTCGGCAAAATATTCGTTCTTACTCGATTCACCCAGTGTGCTTACGGCCTTTACTATAGATATGCCAGCCTTTGTTAAGCTGGCCATCTGCAGCGAAAACACCACCAGCTCGTTGATTTTTACACTAGGCCTCAGGCCGAGCCAACTCACTTTCTTAGGCGCGTTATCCGGCTCTTCTGCACTCTCAATCTTCAATGGCAGCATGCCGGCGGCGCTTAGATCCTGAGCAACCGCACCTGGGTTCAAGCCGACTCTGAACCCTGAGGTGAGCTCACCGGATGCGGATTTAGCCTGGTACAGATAGCGCGGCATGACTAGTGTGTTGGGTCCAGTCCAATTTCGGTCGAGGGCTTGGCATGTAACTCATGTGCATGACGCAAGCTGTCTTCCAGATTCGTGTGTTGCGCTTCCCACAGCTCTTCTTCCTGCCCGGACAGAGCCATTACCTCTGCAAGCGAAGTTTCACCCTGTACGGCATACTTCAAAGCACATTGCACCAGAGGCGCAAAGTTAGGTTGTGCTTCAGCTAATCTGCTGAAGGTTGCCGTGTCATCTGCGCGCAGCGCATCTGCCATTGGCCCATCAATTTCCAGCAGTTCAAAAACGCCAAGCCGGCCAAAATAACCGGTTCGATTACATTGATTACACCCTTTGCCTTTGGCAAAGGTATAGTTGTCTTCGCTCAATCCTGGCGCAGCGGCCTGCAGCCAGGCCAGTTCATGACTGTCAGGCTGGTAGGGCGCACTGCAGCGATCACAGAGTTTGCGCACCAGGCGTTGGGCAACAATTGCGCGCACGGACGCCGCTACCATGTAGCCTTCTATGCCTATGTCGATCAGACGCAGCGCCGATGAAATCGCATCGTTAGTATGCAAAGTTGAAAGAACCAGGTGTCCGGTCATCGCTGCGCGCAGAGCAATGTCTGCTGTTTCACCGTCACGAATTTCACCAACCAGCAGGATATCCGGATCCTGTCGAAGCGTAGACCGCAGGACACGGGCAAAATCAAAGCCGATCTTTGCCATAACCTGAACCTGATTAATGCGCTCCAGCTGGTATTCCACAGGATCTTCAACAGTGATGATCTTTTTCTCTGGCGTGTTGAGTTCATTCAGTGCGCCGTAAAGTGTTGTTGTTTTACCACTGCCGGTTGGACCGGTAACCAGCACCAGACCATTAGGTCGATTGATCAGCCAATGAAAACGTTTCAGCATCTCCGGCTGCATACCGATCTGATCAAGACGGGTTTGCCCGCTACTGTGATCTGCCAGACGCATTACAACGGACTCACCGGTAGTTGTCGGCAGCGTGCTTAAACGAATATCGATGTTCCTGTTCTTCAACTTGATTTCAATGCGACCATCCTGTGGCAGCCGCTTTTCGGAAATATCTAAACCGGCCATCAGCTTCAATCGGCTGACCAGCGCTCCGGAAATTCGTCGCTCATTCAGAATCTGTTCGTGCAGAACCCCGTCTACCCGCTGCCTGAGACGCAGCACGTTTTCATCTGGCTCAATGTGAACATCAGATGCGCGGACCTGAACCGCGTCTTCCAGAATCGACTGCAACAGGCGCGCAACTGGTGAATCATCGTCTTCCGCAGCATCAAAGTTGGACAAGCTGAATTCATCAACACTTAATTCACCATCCAGTTCGCTGGCAAAACTGACAATGTCGCTGGTGCGTCGATAAGCGCTGTCCAGCAGGGTTAACAGCTCAGATTCCCGCACCACTGCTACCGTCATTGCACGATGGAGCTGGCGCTGCAGTTCGTCAAAAGCAAAAATATCAATGGGATCAGCCATGCCGACAAGCAGCTGTTCACCCTGCTCGCGCAACACAATGGCTCGATAACGCCGCGCATACGTTTCCGGCAGCAGCGCCACCAGCGCTTCATCGTACTCAAAATCTTTCAGGTCTATAAACGGCACACCCAGCTGTTCAGACAGAAAGCCGAGCAACCGCTCTTCCTCAACAAAACCTTGTTCAACCAGAATGCGGCCTAATTTTACGCCTGAATCTTTCTGTTCTGCCAACGCAACACGCAGCTGCTCTTCACTGATATCGCCACTTGCGACCAACAGATCACCAATCCGAATTTTTGGTCCACCACGCACACCTAACCCCGACGGCGCATCTGTTCGCGCAGCAAAGCGGCACGACCCGCGCTTTCTCCCAACAGCGTAGACTGTGTACCCAACTCCACCACTATGGGTTTAAGCAGAATCACCAGCTCACTCTTTATCGAACTCTGATTCTTCTGCTTAAACAGATTACCCACCATGGGTAACTGTTTAAGCCATGGCACACCGGCGTTAACGTCACGGCTGCTGTTCTGCATCAGGCCGCCAATCACTACAATCTGGCCGCTGGACGCCTTCACAATACTGTCAGATTCCCGGATCGTGCTGGATGCCAGGGGCACCAGCTGGCCGCCGATAAACTTCAGCTGTTCGGTGACTTCACTGACCGTTGGATGCACATGCAGAATCACTTCGTTGTCAGCGCTGATCTGTGGGGTGACATCTAATGCAATACCGGAGAAAAACGGTGTCAATTCGGGTGAATCATTAATGTTGATCGAGTTTCCGGCAGTGATCGTGTTGGAAGAAATGTCGGTGACAAAAAACTCATCACTACCTACTTTTATCACCGCTTTCTGATTATTCACCGTCGCGATTCTTGGGCTCGACAGCACCTGCACACTACCTTGGGTTGCTAAGAGTTCCAGCGTGGCTTCAAAGTCGCTGAACGCTGCACTGAGAGAGAAGGTTGTACCAAGCGGATTAAATATATTGTTCTGACCGGAAATAAATTCACCCGCAACCGAACGTTCGCTGCCCTGGGTGCTCACTACCGTTCCGTCATCCAGCACCGTAGTAACAGGGGCGAAGGTTCCGCCAGAATCTTCACCAAAAGTGTTCCAGTTGATGCCTGCCTGAAAACCCTCATTAAGGGTCACTTCAATGATTTTGGTTTCCAGCACCACCTGTCGTGACAAAGCGTTTTCAACGCGCTGCAGATAGTCTTCAATTGCCCGCAGCGTATGCGGCTTGGCTTTTACAACAACCAGACCTACCTGTGGGGTGACCATGACGTTGCTGCCTTCATCCATGGAGGCAATATTGGTTAACGTCAGCGTTAACTCTTTCCACAGATCAGCTTCGCCGGAGGTGTTCACTATGGTCCCTACAACATTCTGACTGCCGCCCCCGTTGTTACCGTTATTGTTACCACCGGAATTATTGTTGTTGCCGCTGTTTCCAGAGTTATTGTTGCCATTGTTGTTGCCGCTATCACTCACCTTACCCGCACTGACCTGAGTCTCAGAACGGCCGCTGCGCGCAACGTTCAAATAGTTAACGTGATAGATCTGTGTTCGCAGCACATCTGGAAAGATCTGATAGACATCATTTTTCAAGACATAGTCATAGTTATAGACATCACGCATCACCTGCATCACCCCACTGACCGTTACATCCTTGAGAGAAAGCGTAACCAGACCGGTTACTTCCGGGTGCAACACAAGATTGTAGGGGGTGCCTGCAACAAGACTGCGGAAGAAATCTGCAACGTCAGCATTTTCAACCTGCAGATCAAACGTGGGCTCATCGTCACGTATTGCCAGCGGCAGTTCTTCGAGTCCTATCGGCACCACCTCAGCAGTCACACGTGGTTTCGGCGGCACCTTAGCACCTTCGTTCAGGGTAGCTACGGCCTCGTCCACGCTGTCTGTAGTTTTTGCCAGGCGCGGCCCTAAGGGTTGTTCCAGCGTCGCACAGCTTGTGCTGAGCAGAACCGCAATAAGCATTATCAGTCGAAAATTCACTTTAATTCCTTGTTTATCAGACCGGATCCCAGATGCAGAGTGACCTGCTCTTCAGAACCGATCTGCACCAGCACATTGTCCGGCAGAACCTCAACCAGGGCGACGTCACCTTTACTCTGGCCTTCGAGGAAAACCTGCCCATCAATGACAGCCAGGCGTCGCTGGTCGCTGTAAACAATTGAGCTGAGCACCGGTATATACGGCTCAGAAGCCGCTCTGGAAGGAAGCGTTATGTCTGCTGGCGGCCTGGTTGGATCTTCATACGCCCAGGCGGGATCAGTGACAAGCATAGCCAGACTGGCAATAGATAATATCCTATACACCTAACCACTCCTTTTCGCGGCTAAGAGTTTCTAATTCAATGCGCACCTGGGCATTCGGATACTCCTCCACGACATAGTCGAATCGTCGCCAGGAAAATTGCCATTCGGCAGCCTCCAGCGCATTTAGATAGGCAAGCACATCCATGTACCCACCAACAAATTCAATTTCTACGGGATGCCGATAGATGGTCACCTGCGGCGGCGGTATAGCGTCTGCATTTTCACCAGCATCGGCCTTATGGGAAGCCGCTTGCAGCACCACCGGCTCAGATGGTCGGCTGGCCAGTCGGACCAGCTGAAGGTCTGCAAAACCATCTAATACATCTTCCAACAGATCCGGCACCTGCTCCGGCGCAATAAACCGGTCCAGCAATCCGTCCAGCTCCGCCTGCTGTTCAACAATCACGCCCTGCAACTGATCCTGCTTGTGTTTCAGCGCAATTTTCGCCGGCCTTTTATCCTCCGCCAGCAAACGAATCTGCTCTGCCGTCTGGGCCTGCATATCACGGGTCAGGCGATCGATGCTTTTGACCACATCCACTTTCTTGTCGACAACCACGCCGCCAAGCAGGGTGAACCACAAGCCGCCGGTAAAAGTAAATAAAGTCACGCTGATCAGAAGACGCTCGCGCAAGCTGCAGCCTTCAAATTTTTCCAGCAGATGTTTCAAGTAATCTTTCATCCAGACACAGCTCCATCGGGACTGACAATGACAAATTCAGACAGGGACTTGCCCGGCAGTGTGGTGATCTCTACATGTTTGAAACGTTGCCCGCGAAACTGCTCCTGTTCCGACAGATTGCGCAACATGACCGGGACCAGCGCGGCATCTGAAGTCGCGCCTTTCAAATTTATTTCACGCTTAACACCGTGAGAGATAGAAATTTCACTCAGCCAGAGGTTATCTACACGCGCTTCGCCGAGCGCAGCCAGGTACGGTGAAAAACTCAAACTCTGCTGTTGTCGCAACAAAGCAACTAACAATGCCTGTTGCTCCTGCTGCATCAGCAGTTCAGCAACCTGCGCTTCTAAAGCAAGTGGCGAGACGGTATTTGCACGGTGTAACGAATTCGCCTCGCGGACCCGTTCAACTTCAGCCCGGGTGACCATCTCTTCATCCTGCAACCACCACAAAGATGCGCTTTGCCAGATGCTGATCAACACCAGAAACACGGTAAAGCCAACCCAAGCCAGAGCCACCTGACTGGCACCCAGCCGTTTTCTGACCGGGGCAAGGCTTGTATCAAGAAGATTGACCTGTTGCATTCAGGCCGCCTGCTCAACATTCTGAGCAATGTGATGACGCAAAACACCCCCCAGAGCCGGTAATCCGGCGGCGATGGCGTTTGCCTGCGCTGGCTGCAGGGCATGCCAATCTATTGTCTGGACATCGGGATTGTGCAACTGCAGAGCCATTTCCCCCGCCAACACCTCGGCTATGGAGCGCACTGGAATCGGTAACATTTCGGTCAGATACTCGGTGACCCGCTCCGACCAGTCGTGGGTACAGGCGACCACCAGCATGTTGCAGTGGGGCTGATTCATGGCGCTTTCGTAATAGTCAATTGAACGTTGGACCTGTAACACCATACGTTCGCGAAAATCTGCCCACTTTGGTTCAGAAAATTCATCCGGCAGGCCGGAAACCCGCCTCGCCAGATACAGTTCGTCGCCGCGAGAGATATTCACCAGGCCGCTGTTACTGGTGAGGCGCAACATCGCAATGCTCTGATCCGCATGGGGGAAGCATTGCCAGGCAAGGTTTCTCAAACACAGCTCTGAGGCATCGATGCTGGCCAGTTGCAAACCAGCAGCCTGCACCTGGGATCGCAAAGTCTTTAACAATTCAGTCTTCAACGACACCACAAAAACCATGGGCCGTTCGCGGGACGCGCTTCGTGGCAGCTCAAAAACATCCAGCGTTGCGGTTTCAACCGGATAGTCGACCTGCTCCTGAATGGCCCAACGAACGGCGTCTTTCAGCTCGGCATCGTCCACCTCGGGTCGATCGATCAATGAAACGTTGTACAGCTCCGGTGCCAACACAAGATTGACCCGCTTGCGGGCAGGACTGAGCTGCAATTCCAGCGATGCTATCTGCTGTGCAAGCATTGTGTGGATGTCACTCAACTGGTTAATCGGATCTGCGCGCAGGGCAACCGACATCTGGCCATTAATACTGCCAAACGCTGTTGCCACGCCGCGCCCGGATAGATAGACGGCAATCTGCTCCGTTTCAGACGCGGGCAGGGCAACCGCTTGCGAAAAGCGGGATTTAAGTTGTTGCATCCATGCAACTGCTGAATTCACAGACGTCTCCGGCAAAAAATGGAATGTCGTGAATTTAGTATAGAAAGGTTTTCACATTTCGCAGGCGTGCGGGGAGCGGCTCTCGTACAATGCCTTCATGCCTTTTGACGTTGTCCTTTTTGAACCCGAAATCCCGCCCAATACCGGCAATATCATCCGGCTTTGTGCAAATACAGGCGCACGGCTGCATCTGATAGAACCATTGGGCTTTGAGTGGGACGATCGGCGTCTACGCCGCGCAGGTCTCGATTACCACGAACTGACCAACGTATCGCTCCATAAAGACTACCCGGCATTTCTTGCAACGGTGAATCCCAAGCGCCTGTTCGGTTGCACAACCAAAGGTCAGACCCTGCATACCCAGCCGCATTATCAAACTGGCGATGCCTTGATGTTCGGCCCAGAAACCCGGGGGCTCCCGGACAGTGTGCTCAACACCCTGGCTGTAGAGCAGACAGTCCGCATTCCCATGCAGGCCCGATCACGTTCATTGAACCTTGCCAATGCGGTGTCGATTATTCTGTACGAAGCCTGGCGGCAGGTAGATTTCAGCGGCGGCGTCTGAGGGCGTCAGCCTCTGCACGCCTCAGTGTTGTACCGGGGCATCATCCTTCTTGTTGGCTTTCTGCATCGCCTGAGCGTACAGCGCTTCAAAATTCACCTGCGCCAGCTGCATGGCGGGGAAGCCACCGCGAACCACCAGGCTATCAAGATTCTCCCGCACGTAGGGAAACAACGTGTTAGGACAGGCGATACCAATGACCTGATGCAGCTGCTGTGCATCAAGACCATTAATGACAAATATGCCCGCGTAGTGCACTTCCGCCACAAACGCCACTCGATCACCATCGCGCTTTGAGGTGACGGTAACTGCCAGCACCACTTCGTGTCGGTTATCACCCAGGTTATTTACTGTTGTGTTGATGTCGACCTGGGTTTCAGGCCGCCATTGTTCGCTGAATATGCTCGGTGTGCCGGGTGACTCAAAAGAGGCGTCTTTCAAATACATGCGTTCAATGCGCAACTGCGGTTGTTGCGACTGCGGTTCAGCGCCTTCGTTGGTTGTTTCGCTCATTTTTTAACCACCGGTAAGTTCTGTGCACGCCAGTCGGCAATGCCACCGCGAAGACGGCTCACCTGTTCAAACCCAGCCTTACGCAATTGTGTACCGGCTGAACCGGCGTGTTGACCCATTTTGCAGACCAAAACCATCGGTTTGCCTTTGTGCGGGTTTAATTCATCCATCCGCGTCTCGATCGCGGCAAACGGGATATTGATCGCATCTACGATATGGCCGGCCTCAAACTCAGCTTTGTCACGCAGATCCACCACCACGGCGCCCTCGTTATTGACCAGTTGCACCAGTTCCTGGGCACTGACAGCGGCACCGCCGCGGCTCATTTCATTGCGTATAAACAACGCCAGCAGCACCGCAAAGGCGCCAACAAGAAAAGGATGGTTGCTGATAAACGCAAACAGCTGCTCCATGCGAGAATTCCAGGTATTAGCAATATTTTGACGGGCGCGATTATACACACCGTAGCAGGGGATATTTGTTAGAATTGCGCGTCAAAATTGACACCAGTTGAAATATGCGCCAAGTGAATTTACTCGTAGTTCTTGACGGATTTGGTTACAACGAAGCCACCGACCACAACGCCATCGCTCTGGCAGACACCCCCACCTGGGATGCTTTGTGGGCTAACCAGCCGCATACTCTGATTTCCGGCTCCGGCGAAGACGTCGGATTACCCGCCGGCCAGATGGGTAATTCAGAAGTTGGCCACATGAATCTTGGCGCTGGGCGCGTGGTTTATCAGGATTTCACCCGTATCAATCGAGCCATTGAACAAGGTGAGTTTGTAAATAATCGCAGTATTAATGCTGCGTTTAAAAAGCTCGATCAATCCGGCGGTGCCCTGCATGTCATGGGCCTTCTGTCTCCTGGCGGCGTGCACAGCCACGAAGATCAGATATTCGCTTTACTCAAAGGTGCTGCTGAACGCGGCATCACAAAAATATATCTGCACGCTTTTTTAGACGGTCGCGACACCCCTCCACGCAGTGCCGAGGCCTCTATCCGAGCAGCCCAGAAGCTGTTCAAGACCATGGGCGTAGGCCAGATCGCAAGTCTTGTCGGCCGCTACTACGCCATGGATCGCGACAATCGCTGGGATCGACAGGAGCAGGCGTACAATCTGATTGTCCGCGGCGAGGCGCCTTTTCATGCCAGCGATGCTTTGGACGGCCTCAAGCAGGCGTATAAAAGAAACGAGAACGACGAATTTGTCCAACCCACCGCCATTCACAACCCAGACGAAGTGCCGATCGCCTTAAAACCTGAAGATGCGGTTATTTTCATGAACTTCCGTTCAGATCGTGCAAGACAACTCACGCGAGCCATGACCGACCCGGAGTTTGATGGTTTCAAACGCCGCAGCTTTGTACCCGTCACTGAATTTGTCACGCTTACCCGCTATGCCGACGACATTACCGTGCCCTGCGCATTCGACCAGCAGCACTTCAGCAACACCCTGGGCGAGTATCTGGCGAAACTCGGTAAGACCCAGTTGCGCATTGCAGAAACTGAAAAATACGCCCATGTGACCTTTTTCTTTTCCGGTGGCATCGAACCCCCCTACGACGGAGAAGACCGTATCCTGATCCCCTCACCGGATGTGGCCACTTACGATCTGCAGCCTGAAATGAGCGCTGCCGAAGTCACCGACAAACTGGTAGCCGCAATAGAATCCGCGGCCTATGACGTCATTATCTGTAACTACGCCAACGGCGACATGGTTGGGCACACCGGCCAGCTGGAACCCGCAAAAAAGGCCGTGGAAACACTGGATGCCTGCCTGGCCAGACTCACCGACGCTATTACAGCCAGCGGCGGACAGATGCTGATTACCGCCGACCATGGCAATGTTGAACAGATGAAAGACACCACCACTGCGCAGGACCACACCGCCCACACGCAAAACGTGGTGCCGCTGGTCTATGTGGGCCCGCAGTCACTGGAATTCAGTGACAACGGCACGCTGTCCGATGTTGCGCCAACGTTACTGGACCTGATGCATATCGACATTCCGACGGAGATGACAGGCCACTCTCTGGCAAAAATCAAAACCCAACGCAGCGCATAGCTCTCCCTTTATCCATGCAGCGAGGGATCAAAAGATTAAGAGATTTCTGGCTGGTGGGCCTGATCTGCGCCGTCAGTCATGCCGGTTACGCCGCGGACACCGACTCGGCCACCACCGCAGCTGAGCTTAAATCTACCCTCGAGCGCCTTAACGCGCTGGATCAGTGGTTCAGTGACGCAGAACAGCAGCGCGCCATATGGCTGGTTGAGCTGCAGCGCCAGGACCGTGAAATAGCCGCCGTCAATCTTCAGGTGGCAGATATCCGCAACCGGGTACAGGTGACAACCACCGAGTTGCAGGACCTGCAGAACCATCAGGTGGAACTTAACGAACAACGGCGTACCCAGGCACAGCTGATCGCAGAACATGTCGGCGCGGCCTACCGCCTGACGGGACAGGACTTCCTGAAACAGCTCCTGAACCAGGAGTCGCCGGATACATTTGCACGCATGATCCGATACCACCGCCACTTCAGTGAATCCAGACTTGAAGTGATGGCGCAATACCAGGCGACCCTTGCCGAACTCGAAACCAACAGCCGCAAGCTGATTGAGCAACAGGCAACCCAAAGCAGCCAACAGAAGCAACTTGTTGGCGAGCAACAGGTTCTGGCCACGGAGCGCAGTAAACGTTCTGCTCTGATCGATCAGCTCGATGCGGAAACCGAATCCAAGACCCTTGACTACGAACAGCTTGAAAAAGACCGCAATCGGCTGGAACAATTGCTGGCTGAGCTGCGTCGTCGCGATACTGAATTAGACGGCAGCGCTTTCACCGCTGCAAAAGGCACCTTACCTATGCCCGCAAGAGGGCCTATCCGGCACGCGTTCGGCGCGTCTCGCGCAGATGGGCGGCTGCGCTGGCATGGTATTGATATTGCCGCTGAACAAGGTTCACCCGTTACCGCCGTATTTCGCGGCCGGATTATTTTTTCAGATTGGCTGCGCGGCTTTGGCCTCTTGACCATTGTTGACCACGGCAGCGACTATATGACGTTGTATGGGCACGCTGACGTCCTGTATAAGAAAGTGGGCGACTGGGTAGAAAGCGGCGAGGTCATTGCAGGCGCTGGCAACAGTGGCGGCACCCAGGACACTGGAATTTACTTTGAAGTGAGACACAAAGGTGATGCCAAAGATCCGATCAGCTGGGTGGCCCGCTAACATAACTGTCAGGCCAAGCGCCGCCAGTATTGCCCTGAGCACATTTCTGCTGCTCACACCTTTCATTCACGCACCGGTTAATGGCGAGCCAAACCCGCTTCCGGAGGCAGATGTACCTGTGGGGCAAACCCTCACCCAGGCGCAGCATGACAACGGTCAGTACATCAGCTGGCGTGAACATATTATTGACGACCCCGAGCTTGCCCAGATGGATCTGAGTGGCAGCGATGGGCTGGCGGTGGCAGATCTCGATCTTGATGGTTGGCCAGACATCGTTTCCGTGCATGAATCAGACACAGTCTATGACGGCAAACCCATTGGTCACGTGCGTATCGCCTGGGGCAGTCAAAGCCCGACGCAATGGACACTGACTACCTTAGCGTCGGGGCCCGAAGCCGCCGCCGCAGAAGACGTCTCCATTGCTGATGCCAACAGCGATGGCTATCCAGACATTGTGGTGGCCGCTGAACTGGCACACCTGATTTACTTCGAAAACCCCGGCAAACAGGCCCGCAACAAAATCTGGCCCCGCACGATTCCAGCCATTACGCAGAATCGAGGCTCTTTTATCCGTGTGTTCTTTGCAGATTTTGACAACGACGGACAGCCAGAGATTGTCGCGCCAAACAAAGGCGAACAAAACCCGGATGTCACACAGCAGCAGCGCCTTAACATCTCGATTTTTCATCTGCCGGACAACCCCCTGGACGGCGACCTCTGGCGGGAGCAGGTCATCGCCCAGGTACGCATTCCGATTAATTCTGAACCCGTGGATATTGATGCTGACGGCGACCTGGACGTGATTGCCGGGTCTCGCGGAGAAGGCCGCATCATGTGGCTGGAGAATCTGGGTGATTTCAGATTTGCCAACCACCCCATCAGGCCCACAGCTGAAAACAAGCCGGCTAACGCCGCTTTGACCGGGTTCAATATGGACTACGCGGACCTCAACGCGGATGGCCGCACCGACATTATTTCCACCGCCTGGCCCAGCTATCTTTTATGGCTGCAGCGTCCGGCTGATGCAGCAGGCGATTGGCCAACCACCCTGATCGGTAATTTTGCGCCCGACCAGCTGGTCTCCGTGCGCCTGGCAGACATCGACAATGACGGCGACCTGGACGCTTTCACAGGTTCCTATAGTCGCGGCCCCCGCAACCAGGATGGCAAAGAAGTCACCGTTACCGACGCCCTGGGTCGCATCGCCTGGTTCGAAAACCCGGGTCCTGGCGACAACGCACAGCCCTGGCCACAACACGATATTGTGCGACGCAAGCGCGGTATGTATGACAAATGGCTTGCCCTGGACCTGGATCGCGACGGCGACCTGGACTTTGTGGGTACCCGTGGCAACAGTGAACCTTATGATGGGGTAATCTGGCTGGAACAGGTGCATACCACTGAACCCGCCGTACGTTTTGTGCCATCACGCAGGATAGACAGCCAGCAAATGGCTAATCCATCTCCGGGACGCTAACTGCTTAACACTATTGTATTCGTCCGCTGTCAAAACCCATGGCAAACTGCGAAACTCCTTACATGGTTCTTCGCCCCCTAACACTCATCGGCATTATTCTGTCGATTGTCACCGGCATCGCACTGGGCGTTCTGACCCACCTGATGACCAGGGACAATGCGTCTGCAGACACTACTGTGACGCTATCTGCTGCGCTTAAGCAGGTCAGTGAGAATTACGTTGAAGAAATCAGCGAGGAAGAGCTGCTGAGCCACGCCATTGACGGCATGATGCGCCGCCTGGATGACCACTCAGATTATCTGGACCGAAGCGCGTTCTCTTACCTGAAAGAAAACACCGAAGGCCATTTTGGCGGTATTGGGATTGAGCTGGGGCTGCAGGACGGCTATTTCACAGTGATTGCGCCCATCGACAACACACCTGCCGCAGATGCGGGCATGCAGGCCGGCGACCGCATCACCCAACTCAACGGTGAATGGGTCAAAGGTAAGTTACTGACAGACATCGTTGATGCTTTGCGCGGCAAGCCCGGCACAACCGTGAAGCTGGGTGTGGAACGTGCAACCGACAACGCCGATGTGAAACAGAATCTGGAATTCAATCTGACACGCGCGGACATTGAATTTGCCAGCGTGCGTTCCCGTTTACTGGAACCGGGTATCGCCTATATACGTATTTCAGCTTTTCAGAATCGTACCGGAGATGACGTGTACGACGCTCTGGCAGAACTGGCGGAAGAAACCTCCACCCCGCTGGAGGGCCTGGTTGTCGATTTACGCAACAACCCCGGCGGCACCCTGCAGTCTTCTGTTGAAGTGGCGGATCACTTCCTCGACCAGGGGCTGATCGTTTACACCGAAGGGCGCCTCCAATCCAGCTATGCCAAGTATCGCGCCACCAAAGGCGATCTACTGGCAGGCTTGCCTATTGTTGTGCTGATCAACGGAGGCTCCGCTTCCGCTTCAGAGATTGTCGCCGGCGCGTTGCAGGACCACGGTCGTGCACAACTCATCGGCAGCACCAGCTACGGCAAAGGCTCAGTGCAATCGGTGTTACCTCTGGACCACGACCAGGCACTGAAAATCACCACGGCGTACTATTTCACCCCGAACGGGCGTTCTATTCACAAGAGCGGTATAGACCCTGATATCGAGTTTGACGGCGATGACGAAATGATCCTCGCTGAAGCCATCGAAGTGCTGAAGGCGCAGGAAAAAACCGGTCTGCGCGCGAGCCTCTAAGCCACTCATTCGTTTACTTCACCTCCGACGCAACTTACACTGACCGCTACTGACCACCAGAGTCAGACACACAAAAAAACAATAACAATTCTGATAAGGGAACAGCGCACTGAGACGGCTGCAGGTTTACCTTTCACTGTTGTTACCAGCAGTTATGTTGTTTTCGCCCGGGGGGGCAAACGCCGCTGAACTGGCAATAGTGATCGACGACGTCGGATATCATCAGATCAGAGGCATGCGCGCCATTGCACTGCCGGGTCCCGTGACCATTGCTGTCCTACCCCACGCACCACACACCGCTAACCTGGTCCACCAGGCGAGTCGCAGCGGCAAAGACATTATCGTGCACCAGCCCATGCAGGCACATCCATCAAAACACGCCTCCCGTGAACGCCGTACGCTGATGCTGGATATGCACGAAAAGGATTTTGCCAGCATGACCGCTGCGGCCCTGGATGCAGTACCGGGAAGAATCGGCTTATCCAATCATACCGGCAGCCTGCTAACCGCACATCGAGCGCCCATGCAGCAGCTGATGACTATGTTGCGCCAGCGTGACCTGTTTTTCTTAGACTCACGCACCACCGCAGCAACGGTGGCTTTGCAGGTTGCGCGCGAACAGGGTGTACCTGCAGTGAGACGTGATGTGTTTCTCGACCATGACCCATCACCTGCAGCCGTCCATCTTGCGTTTGAACGTGCCCTGCAGATTGCGCGACGCAACGGCCGCGCGATTTTAATCGGCCACCCCTACGACGTCAGTCTGGATTATCTGGAAGGCCGCCTGGCGGATCTGCCGGCGGATATAAAAATGGTTTCAGTGGCGCAGCTTGCGCAGCGGCAAACTCAATTCAGCCGTCCAGCAATGCTTGCCCAGCCGCCACGTCTAGTGTCCCCTCATATATCGCCCGGCCCGTAATCGCGCCAAACAATAACGTTTCGTGTCCGGCAAACGCCTGTTTCAAGGCCTCGAGGTCAGCCAGAGTGGTCACCCCACCGGACGCAACGACAGGCAGGTTGCTGGCCAGCGCCAGCGCGTGAGTCGCCTCGATGTTGAGGCCCGACATCATGCCGTCGCGTTCAATATCTGTATACACTACCCCGGCTACCGGCCACTGGGCCGCCTGCCGGGCAAGGTCCACCGCTTTGAGCGTAGAGGTCTGATCCCAACCTTCCGTGGCCACCAGGCCATCTCGCGCATCCAGCCCAAACCAGATTTTGTTCGGAAAAGCTTTAGCGGCTGCAGCCAGAAAGTCAGGCTCCTGTATGGCTTTTGTGCCAACAATCACGCCGCTGACACCGGCGGCGACATACGCCTCAATCACGTCCAGGCTGCGAATTCCGCCACCCACCTGCACCGGCACACCACCCATGACAGCCACCATTTGCTCTATCAACGTCCGATTGCGAGGCTCGCCGGCAAAGGCCCCATCGAGGTCAACAATGTGCAGACGTCGAGCCCCCTGCTCACGCCAGTGCGCAGCCATCGCCACCGGGTCTTTGGAGAACACAGTCGCATCGTCCATACGCCCCTGGCGCAAGCGCACACACTGACCTTCTTTCAGGTCAATCGCAGGAATCAGCAGCATGGGTCAGAGGCTACCTTTGGTAGACGGCACGATGCCACTCATGCGTGGGTCAGGTGTGACCGCCATGCGCAAAGCACGACCAAATGCTTTGAACAGGGTTTCTGCCTGGTGGTGAGCATTCAGACCTTTAAGATTGTCCAGATGCAGCGACACCATCGCATGGTTAACAAAGCCCTGGAAAAATTCGCGCAACAGATCAACGTCAAAATCACCAATACGCGCGCGGGTATAGTCAACGTTGTAGAACAGACCCGGCCGGCCGGATAAGTCGACAACAACTCGAGACAGCGCTTCATCAAGTGGCACATAGGCGTGTCCGTAGCGATAGATACCAGACTTATCAGACAGCGCCTGGGCAAACGCCTGACCCAGCACAATGCCCACGTCTTCCACCGTATGGTGGGCATCAATTTCCAGGTCGCCATTGGCTTCAATGTGCATATCAATCAGACCATGCCGTGCTATCTGCGTCAGCATGTGCTCAAAAAACGGCACGCCGGTCGCAAAGTGACTGGTACCCGTGCCATCTAAGTTGATGGTCACTTTTATCTGGGTTTCTGTGGTATCGCGGATGACCGAAGCGGTGCGCGCATCACTCATGACTGACTCTCGTGTGCATGGCTGTAAAAAGAGCGCGGATTCTACGCTGAACACACAAAATATGCAGCGTAATCAACGCACTGCACCGGCTTCAGAGCCGGTTAAGCAGATTGCCGTGGGGTAAAAACCGATTTGTTGTATGACTTTTAATCCACCGCGTCATATCTGGCGCATAAACGTCACGCTGCTTCAGCTGTTGCACCAGCGCAATGACGGGGGATTTATCACCCGCAGCCCAGGAGGCAAACTGCATCTCACCAAGGGTAAAAATACGGATCAATTGAGAAATCTGCTCATCTGTCAACTGCTCAGCCAGCACTGACCAGTCGCCATGAGACGCCATGGGGGCAAAGCGTTTCACATCCAGCTCCGACAGCGCCAGTTTGTTATCTGCGGAAATATCTGCAGCGGCACACAAAGCCGCAGCCATCTGAGCATCGATAGGTTGTGCCATTGCGGAAGGATCAAACGTATCAACTGTCATATTTGCTACCTAGAATGCCTAAAAACCGGGTGGGATATCCAAAATTAGTATATTTGCGCTATTTACCTGACGCATTTGCGCTTTAAAATAACGGTTACAAAGGCAATACACTGAATTTGCGCTTCTGTGATCCAATAATAATCACACAGAGCGTGTCAGCAGAACACCGTTGCCGATCAAGTAGTATCCGAAAATTTTGCATTTCGGAAGAGAAGGACTGGGGAAGTGGACGAACGCATTTACCAAACACAAGATGGTCAGTGGTACTACCGCGCACGCGGTCACCAGGACGCTGGCCCGTTCCCATCTGAAGAGTCGGCGGTCACTGCATTACGTAAACAGATCCGCAGCTGGCGCGGACGCAGCGCGCCACGAAAAACCCCACTTAGCGATCTGCCAACCTCACGTTTCTTTCGTCGTTCAGCTACCCGCCATCCATAAACCTCTATACTAGGCCCCCTTTTTATTGAGATGGACCCACGATGGGTGTGTTAGGCCGTATCTTTGGAATTTTACTGGCGCTAGTGGTGGCTTTGGCCATCGGCGCATATTTTTACCTGCAGGATGCCAATCGCCTGAAACCAGAGATTGAACGATTGATCTCTGAACAGAGCGGTTACACCACGCGCATCAACGGTGACGTGTCCTGGTCGCTGATTCCGCCGCTGAGTCTGAATGTAGCGGACGTGAACCTGAGCCGCACCGATGAAGACATTGCAGCAGGCATGTTACAGCTGAACATGGACCTTTCAGCTATGTGGAACGACATCAATCAGTGGCGCGTTAGCGAACTGACCCTGCTGGACACGACATACAACGCCGATGGCGCAAGCACACTGTTGAACAAGCTGGAAGTCAAAGATTTCCGACTGGGAGAGCCCGCCGAAGTATTCGCCGATGTTGTGCACACCAGCGAAGCTGGCGCAGAACCGCTGGCAGCCCGTTTAACAGGCTTTGTGACCTATACACCAGCAACTGCGAGCCAACCTCAGCGAATCCTCTTGAAAGATGGGCGTATTACTTCTGAAATGGCCACAGGTGTTTGCCAGGCAGAAGCCACCGACAATCCACTTGCGCCGGCGAAATTACCTGTTGAAGGCAAAGATGATCTGCTACCGATCGCCACGCTGTTGAGCTACAACTTCAGCGCGGACTGCAACCTATCGGAACTGGTTGTGGGCGAAGAAACGTTCACCAACAGCCGGGTGGACATCACCAATACAGCAGGACGTTTGAATGTCATGCTGAACATCGCCGATTTCCTGGGGGGCAGCCTGGCCAGCGATGTCGACATAGATGCCACTAAACCCGCGCCAATCTGGACCATACTGCCAGAGGTGAGCAACGTTGATAGCCAACGTCTGATCGATTGGGCTGATCAGCGCATGCAATGGATTGCGCCCCTGGCACTGAACTCAAAACTCACCATGCGCGGCAACACCGAACAACAACTGCTGGCTTCCGTTAAAGCCGCCACTGAATTCAACGGTGGCCAGGGGCAGCTGAATATTTCCAAAATCAAAGCGCAGCTGATGCAGATCGCCGCACTCACCCGGCAGACCGATCGCGCCTCTACCTGGCCGGACATATGGAACTATGAACAATTCACCGGTCGATGGAACATCGACGGCGCCCTGCACAGCCTGCAGTTTGCACTGGACCACATGAGCGTGGATGCCAACGGTAAGTATGACTACGCTGCCGACACCATTGACATGCTGGCCAACGTAACGGTCAACGCCGCGCCTGAAAACAACCCGTTTACAATCAATCCGCTGCTTGAGGGAACGCCTATACCCATTCGGTGCACAGGGGCTGCAGCAGACCCGACCTGTCAACTGGATAGAAACGCCGCACAAAACATAGTCGCCAAAGCACTGCAGAGCGGTGACGACTCGGGCTTACGAAAAAAACTTGAACAGAAAATCGACGAAGAAGTGCCAGAAGAATATCGGGATACCGCACGCGGGCTGTTAGATATTCTTGGTCGCGCGCTGGACAACAACAAGTAGAGACAACCGGCATATGGATTGGTTTGCGCAAGCGCTACTGAAGTGGTTTGACACGCATGGGCGCAAAGACCTGCCGTGGCAGCATGACATAAACCCCTACCGTGTCTGGGTGTCTGAAATCATGCTGCAGCAGACCCAGGTGGCGACCGTTATCGACTACTACCAGCGTTTTATGCAGCGCTTCCCTGACGTAGACGCCTTAGCTCGAGCCCCCCTTGATGACGTTTTACATCTGTGGACGGGGTTGGGCTACTACGCCCGCGCGCGCAACCTGCACAAAACAGCACAAGCCATTGTTGAACAACACAATGGCCACTTCCCCGAAACTCAAGCCGAGCTTGAAGCCCTGCCCGGCATCGGGCGTTCTACAGCTGGCGCCATCCGTGCTATTGCAATGCACCAGCAGGCCACCATTCTCGACGGTAACGTGAAACGCGTACTGACCCGATTCCACGCTGTTTCAGGCTATCCCGGCAAAAGTGACGTGGCCAAACAGCTTTGGCAACAAGCAGATGAACACACCCCCGCTGAGCGCACAGCAGATTTCACTCAAGCGATTATGGACCTGGGCGCAACCCTCTGCACTCGACGTCATCCGGATTGTTCGACTTGTCCACTGGAAACCAGATGTCTGGCCAGAATCAACAATAATGTTGCCGACTACCCAGCCAGCAAACCCAAAAAAGACAAGCCTATTCGCCGGGCACGCTTTTTTGTGCTGTCGCTGACCAATAACGCCACGCTGCTCGAGCGAAAACCTTTAAACGGATTATGGGGCGGTTTATGGACACCGCCAGAGAGAGACATCTCAACCTCTGTAGATACATTCCTGAACGAACTGGAGATCCGTTCGACTCGAGTAGAACGGCAGCATGTTGCGCCTGTTTTTCGCCACACCTTTACCCACTTCCACCTGGATATTGAACCTGTGTACATCACCCTGGATGATCTGCCAGAAAGTTACGTTGGCGAAGAAACCCGGCGCTGGGTTAATCCTGAGCACATAAATGGCGAAAACCAGGCCATTGGTCTTTCCGCCCCAGCCGTTAAACTACTGGCCAGTTTAAAAGAGCCTTTTACATCATGAGCCGAACCGTAATGTGCAGCCGCTACGCAGAAGAACTGGAAGGCCTGGAAAAACCGCCCATACCAGGTGCTGCTGGCGAGCGTATTTTTGCTGAAGTATCTAAGAAAGCCTGGCTTGAATGGCAGAATCTGCAAACCATGCTGATCAATGAAAAACATTTGAAGCTGCTGGATCCGGACGCACGTAAATACCTCAGCGAACAGATGTGGCGGTTTTTTGCCAATGAAGAGGTGGATAGAGCTGAAGGATATGTAGCGCCGCCAAAGGATTAGGTAGAAGAACTCACAAATTCCACCTTCAGGGCGGTTGACGCACGCGGATCACCCCGCTTTAATACGCCGCTCTCTAAGCCGGTGCAGCCGCATACGGTATATGGCCAGATAGCTCAGTTGGTAGAGCAGGGGACTGAAAATCCCCGTGTCGACAGTTCGATTCTGTCTCTGGCCACCATCTAATCGAAACAGGCCGGATGACTGCTGACGCCCTAATTGATCTAGATCACGTCCGGGTTGGTAACATCCGCGATCACCCTCAGCGTGCCGCGCCACAGCGGACAGAGCTTCTTCCACAGAACAAAAGTAGTGCTTCACCAAGCCAACAGCATATCCGGTGTGGTTGGCGTACTGCTATAGGCCTGCCTCGATTAAAGCGGCGTCCAGGTTCGCCATAAAGTCTTCGATGGTGAGGCGAAATGACTTAATCCAGTTCGCGTCGCTGGCTACCTGGCCCTTGTTCAGTGCGTGACCGGATACCACCAGAGTGCGCGCTTTATCAGCTGTCTCTATGTTGATGCCGCATTGGATGTCGCTTTCGAAACCCACCGATGCAAAGCCCGGACGAAACCAGCCCCAGAATTTTTGGATATCCACGGTAGCAACATGGTCGGCGCTTTCATCCGTTGCGATGGCATAACCGCGTTTCTTGAAGCCCGCTTCTAACAGCCGGCTGACTTCCTGCTGCACGGTAGACTCATTGGCCAGAGCGACGTCCCCCATGGCCTTTCCGTAACCGTTCCTTTGACGACCGATGAGGCGCGCGCGCTGCTCGGCGGTGGTATCTGCCAGCTTGCCGGTGACGGAAGGGGTTGAGGCCTGCGCCGGTTTCTGCTCAAACTGGCGCGAATCTTTGATGGTACTGATGTAGATGGTGCCCGCTGTTTGCTCGGCAGTCTCAACCGTAGGCGTGGGCAGCTCCAACGAACGGGTTCCGGTGACGCAGCCGCTGGCGAATACCACCGCACCTATCAGCAGAGCAGTACGGTATAGATTCAACATAAGGGGGGTACTCCTGTGCACGGCGAGTTAGTCGTCACTAGAAAATAGCAGATCAAATCCTAGCCTTGTAGTTGCCGAATGCCTGATTACGGTTGAACCCCTGATCCTGTAGCCAGCGGATCTGCGGAAAAACGAGTTCTGAATCCTCGTTGGAATAGGCGAGGAATATGTACGATTCGTCTCCATCGTAAGCACGCAGCGGTCGTTCAGCCATCAGGGGCCCCCAAACTGAGCGCTTGAGTCTACTAGTAGATGAGTTTCATCACATCCGGGCTATGTCTCCAGCGGGCAAGAAGCCACCCCCGAAAATTAATCTTGAAGGGCATTTTCTATAAATTATCTTGGACGTTAATCAGGCTAATGTCGCCTCCATGTCGCCATCGCCTTACGCGCTGGAATATCGACTCCAAAACCTCTGTCAGCTTTTCCCAGGTTCCTTATTTGGGTGACCGTGCTACTAAGCCTCTGATACGATTGATCAATGAAATACAAACCCAACAAGATAGAACCCTGTTTATACAGACCCCAGGGTCCGTATAGGTAGTGTTAGGCGCCAAGAACCGGAGTTCCGGAACTCACAGAAACAACAAACTGGAGGTATCAACGATGCCCTTTGTAAAACAACTATCCTGCGCGGTATTCATCATGATTCTCGCCGGTTGTACCTCCGTCAAAGTCCAGCCGATGGGCTCAGAACATCAACCCGAACTAATCTGCTTAGAAAACAATCCGGAAGTTATCGTCGCAGGTTTTGAAGAGGCTGTTAGAGAACGAATCGAATCCCACGGAATCAATACTCAAATGTACAGCGGGCCTGTCCCGGAGGAATGCTTATATACAATTAGGTACACAGCTCTTAAGAACTGGGATATAGGTTTATACATGCATCACGCGGAATTATATCTTAGCCTCGATGGGCAGGAAATTGGCCGAGCTGTCTACCATCTAAGAAACAAGGGGGGGCTCGCTCTAAACAAATGGCAAGATGTAAAAACAAAAATGGATCCCGTCGTAGACCAGTTACTCGGGAAGTGATCCCGTTCACGCCTAACGAATTGTTGGAGCTGACTGCTTACCCGTTATCCCGCAAAGCCGACATTAGTAAACAAAAAAACACTATTCCAGATTGAAGTCTATTTTCAAGAAATCGCCACTTGAGAGAAAAGTACCCGCGGCATTAACCCAAATGGTGTCTGAAGAGAAAGTTACTCTTTGCTCCAAGACACTAAAATCACTTTCTGCGCTCAAAGTCGCAAGAGTTATATCACCTGGAAGCTCCTCAAATCTGAATTCAAGTCCGCTGAACTCGCCATCACTAACTCGGCCAGAATCAACAAAACGCAACTCTATGGTGTTTCCCGATACGTCTATATCAGACCGAAGTAAACCAACGTTGCTGAAGCTGTCCAGTCGCTGGCGAGCAGAACTAGGTATTTCTAGTGCCCCAGTAACTCTAACCCGGTAAGGAACGGTGAAGTCCTGCAAAATAGTCCCGAATTTACTTGTGACAGTCACCCAAGATCCCCAAGCGTTTGGCTCGAGCGGGTTCAGTACGATCGACCTATCTTCACAAAAAGTCTGATCCTGCGACTCAAGAATGCTTGAAAAGAGTCGAAAAGAATCGTGCTCACAGGTGTTGTCCCCTGCAGCACACTCAACATATGGCTCCGCAAACTCTAGCTCATCGTCTGGATCTAGATTGACAAACTCAGCGAACCAGGGTGCATAAGAGTGGGAATAACCTCTCGAATTGTTCAAAACCTCCGAATCGGGACCTACTGCGGCGGCGTGAAACTCTCCATCATAAGCACCCAGAACTACCTCTCGAACGCTCATAGGGAAATCTCTGCATCGGCCTAAACCTATCTCCGAAGAGCCCAACAACCTCTGCCCTCTATAAGAAATTAGCCCATCACCATCATCGTAGACAAAATTGTCTGAAGACTCTCTTTTTAATCCAATCGCCACCACCATGGGTACCCTTGGTAGCTCGGCTAAACGCTCACTGGTGTCGTAAAGCAAACTCGCAATTTCACCAGTCACACCAACATCCATAAGGTCCAGAAAGCCTGGTCGAGCTTCCAGAGGCTCTCCCATCTGAGAACACGAGATCTGCCCACATCCCAAGAAAAGCCTTGAATCTTGTCCGGGGGGAAAGGTTCTAGAGCCGATTGTTTCGAGGCCCCTAAATATGCCTGAGTGTGGCGTACCCAACGTCAGGACACTCGCGACCATTTGTTTGTCGAAGCCAGTGTTCTCTATTTCAGGGACCAGGTTTTGAAGAAGCATTCGAGTTAGAACACCGCCAAAAGAGTGAGCGACTATTCGAACACGTTGGCCTGTAGCGCTGTATATGGTTCGTATAGCGCCAGCAAGGTCTGGCGCCGCGGTTCGAAAAGAAGTATTGGTCCGCCACTGGAACTCAAACGGGACGACGGGTCTTCCGTCAACTTCCAGTTGGGCTGCAAGATACGGGAAGTCGTTCCATGTATCTTCTCCACCACCTAAGTTGTTTAAGGGCGTATATCCATGGACGAACAACACTGGAGCAATATTTGCTGGATCGTTTTGATCATTGCGGAGAGCGTCAAGTTCTTCTTGATTGACGGAACTCGTCAGCGTGGCCGCATCGAAGTATTGTCGAATACAGACTTGATACGTATTCGGGCCGGTAGAAGGCTGGCAACTCAAAAGGGGCGTTTCATTAAGGAAAAATCTTCCCAATTGAAGCCGGTAACCTTCAAAAAAGTATCCATCGTAACGGCTCAATTCGTGCGTGAGCGGATAAGGGTATGTCAGAGCATTAGTCCCAGCTTCTCCACCAAGGTTAGTCAGAACCACTTCCTTGTTAGTTTTTTGAGGCAAAGCTGCTGGGGCGACATAGCTATTCGAGAGGAGCCGCACCTCCGCCGAGTGGGATGAAATGTCCTGATCAAAAGAGATTCGCCAAAGTGCACTAGTTTCAGTTTCCGCCACATATATCTGGATGCCAATTGACCCGCTTAGTTGGCCAGGATCAATTTGAATTCCATACTTCCCACCGGGCGAGGCAATGACGCCGCCCTCTGGACCCAAATTGCCACTTGCAACCAGATCTGCCTCTAAAACCTCAATGTTAAGATCGATTGCGGTTGTCTCACCATTATTCAGGTTTGTGGCTGTAACAGTCACCGGAATTGCCGATGAGGCGGAAAAGCCGCTGCTATCGATTTCAAGCGAGTAGCGACCATTGTCCGAAGAGATTGTTATTCCACTTTCGCTAGAATCAACATTTACTTCAAAGCTGATGTTTGAATCGACGAGACGGAGGAAAATCTCTTTAGATGCCACCTCATCAGGCAAAACCGAAATCGACTGATTTGAGTCGGAAGCAATGAGTAATACGATGCCACTACCCGAGTAAGGAGGGGTGGCAGGAGGCGCGACTGTTGGAGGTGGTGCAACTTGCGCAGGTGGTGGAGAATTCGACGAACTACTGCCACCTCCACAACCGGCCGAACACACAGCAATCGTTGCAAGCAAAACCCAATTGGTGCATTGCTGCCTCAAAAAATAAGGCCTCGACTTATGGCGCTTGTTCACAGGCATCCCCTTAATAAAAAACAATATTCCAAACTCTCGAAGAGTTGCAATCTATGCATACGAGGTTGCCCGCTGGAAATACTCGCTTTAAAAACTAGCACGTGTCGAAATTTAGTTCGACTGAGAATGTGAGTAACTTGTTAG